ATAAATGGTGCGTGATTTGACTTCGGAAAAACCCGGAGTGTGCAAAGAATGTCGCCGGGTACCGTTCTTACGCTTTCGTTTTGACGAAACGCGAGCCATCTGTGAGGAGGTAGATATGCCGCGCTACGTGGGTTGTGCGAAACAAAAGCGGTCATGGCCACAGAAGGCTGCTTCACTGCAAAGCAGTCGTGCCACGAGGCAGAGCCAATTGTAAACTCGCATTGCGCCGGCATTTTTGTAGTGTCCGACTCTTTTTAGTTGTTTATTACGGTGGTTATTCGAGAAATATTGTGGCAACAGGGCACGTGAAATAATTTCGCTTTTTCCGTAAAACTTAGCGCGTTAATTGCGCGTAATTGCGCAATTAATTTATTATTAATTTTTAATCGTTTTATTAATTTATTATTAATTTATTCATGGTGATAAATTATCTGACATATTTAGAAAAAGTGGTTTCCCCTGAAAATAACGGGTTGGAAAAGTTCATTAGCTTGCGTTTTTCACAGCGCGCTTACTTATTTACAGTGGTAGCATATAGCGTCAGATTAGGAACTTGTTTTTATTTTTTTACCTGCCATAATTTTGTATGCAATAAAAAGCAACTGCGTTAAAAAGCTTGGTTATTGATGTTCTCATTCACCTCTGGGCCGCTGAGCACAATTTGTTAGCTTTTATGCATAACTTTTCGACTTTACGTTATAAACGATGAAAATAATAACAAAAATAACATAAATCGCACTGTAGGCACAATGCTGATGATTTGGCGGAGCTAGCGCCTATGTATTCCTGGCTTTTTGCTGTTTTGCCAAGTTTTGCGGATTTTCTCTGTATCTGTTCCTCTGTTTCTTTCTTGCCTATTCTAGTCATTTTTCGGTCCTTTTTTCTTCATTTATTTTTTTATTTGTCAATATCTCTTGCTCTGCTTATCAAAAATTCTCATATAAGTTTGTGTTGGTCCAATAAGAAATTGCTATCGGTTCCATTAGAAAGTCTGTTAGAGGTGTATTGGGTGTATAAGAATTCAATTAGTACAAATAGGGAACAATAGACGCACATATTTCGGTTTTCCTTGCGCAAATAGGACTTGTATTTGTCACCAACAAGGGCCAATAGCCAGTCGCATATTGTTTTTTTATTGGGCAAATAGGGAGTTGTATTGGTCAAGTAGGTGCTTTCGATCAATTTCTTATGGAATCAATAGTGGATGTATAAGATGAATATTAATTGTATAGGTAAAAGCTGCCACCAGCTGTTAACTTATGTGTAAAATATCTCTATTTCCTGCTCTTCCTATTTTTCTTCCTGCCTTTCATTTTTATTTCCCCCTCTCTCTTTGCTTCCTCCGTCTTTCTGTCCCACTCTATCTCTATTTTTCACTTTATATTTCCTAATTCTTTCATTGTCTCTTTTTCTCTCGACATTTCTTTTTCACTAGTTTCATTCTTTCTGTGTTATGCTTTTCTCACTCCCCTCCTTCTTTCCCTCCTACTCATCCTCACATCTTTCCTCCTCATGCTAACCTTCTTTTCCCACTACAATAGAGTATTTAAGGCTATGCTATGCCCTGTTAGCATGGCTGGATAGCCGAACTGTTAGGACGCTTGCCTTATGGTCAACGGTATGCGGGTTGGAATCCTGCCTCGTTAAGAATTTCTGGGCAAGAAATTGCCTCTTTCTTGCTTTCCTTCTCTCGCTTTGTATTCTTTCCCTCCCCCATCAAGGCCCTTTCGTTGAAAAAATTAGTGCACCTGTTCTGGAAGCGCGAGTAGCGCAGGCCGGCAAACTTACTCCTGAGTTGACTCACTCAGACTTAGTCAAACTCAGATTGAGCGAATGGGTGAGTCCGAGTGAGCCTGGCTAAGAAAACATTCAGCAAGCCTGAGAAAGTCCGATTAAAACAAATTTTGGTGAGGCTGAGCCCGCGTGAGCCGTCAGGACAAAATGTATTTCGTGAGTGAGTTCCGCATTTTTTGCCGACCTATGGTGAGTAGTGTATTTGGAATAGCCTCAGCTCAGTTATGGCACATACCAGTTATGGCACGCTCAAGATGGTGATAGTTTTTGGCGTCACGACAGACGAAAGCTTTATGCAGATGAGGTTGCATCACTCATACTGTAGGAAGTGACATCACAAATTAAACCAAGCAGTATATTATGTGCGCTGTATACATCTTGAGTTAGTAGGAGGCAATCATCGCAGGCACATCATTATTGTCATCACATGATGATTATACAGGCACAGACTGATTAATGCTAATGCTGATAAAAGAATTTCGCAGACATCAGCTCGGTATGCGCTTTCGTCATCTTAGCCAAGAAATGCTTTTCCGTGAAAAGGGTACAAAGCAAAAATCATTTAGTGTCCTAAAAAACATGCTGGTAAGCGTTCCTGTTGGTCCCTATAGTGTCCTAACATAAAGGCATGGTGTGAGCTCTTCGTCATGTGCCTGCGCGAGATATCGTGACATTTCCACGGCCGCTCCGCTCCGTAGCTGTTTTGGTGATGCACAAGTGGCGATTTCGTATTTTTACCTGAGGTCATTGCAGCCATGCAGTTTCCTATTATTACGCTAGAGGGAACTCTCGCGCTAATGTCTATGGGAGCTGCAATGCACGGCGCTTCAGCCAGAGTGGCACTGATGGTTAGTACACAAACTTGTCTAATCTTCCCACTTTTGGCTCCTTTTGGCTTCACGTGGCTTGGAGCAGCTTTTTCATGGCACAATAATCAGCAAACGTTCAGCTGTCGCACTTCACCACCTTAACTTTCTTGGCTTAACAGTTCAAATCAACTCCCAAAGGTCATAACGGTTCCTTTCTTTTTTCGAAACAAAACCAAAACACAACAATAAACAAAGCCACAAGTGTGTTTGAAGCCTGCAAGCATGAAGACTAGAGAAACTTGTGCTCTACCCATTGCTCCTATGGTCGCTGAATTATTTTAGCGTCAGAGCCTCCCTAGTTAACTTTAGGAACCCGCATGGTTTCTATGACTGCTCCGCTCTGTGGCTGTGTTGATGATGCACCAGTGGCCTATTTTGTATTTGTCATCGCTGCTAGCCATACTAATGGTGAAGTCACTAGGATCGGTACTGTAGGGTGAGGACACACTATTGTTGACGTCACTAGGCGCTCTATGCAACAATTGACCTTAATATTGAAAAAGAGATCTCAGCATTCTCTCTGCTTCACACTTGCTCAGAGATGTCTCTGCATACAGGAGATGGCAGAGTGAACCCAACTTCAAAAATTGGTATTAGTACCTCTTTAAATGGACAGTAAACATCTTTATTCTAAAGTACTTTTTCGTGATACTAAAAAAGTCATGCTTGTCCATGCTTCAGTGTCTCTTCCACATCTCAATGGGACACCAACCCCATGCATGCTCAACCGCTGTAGGTCGGACGAGTTGGGCTGGCACGAAGCCGAGCTGCCAAGCAGCTCTGACCCGAGACGATGTGTCGTTATCCCACCGGCTAGCGGTTCCAAACTTAAAACACTAAGGGTGATTGATTCGTTGGAAACGTACCAACCAGGGTCCCTGGGCTTATGGCACAGTTCAGATCCACCACCTGGCCAGAGCCGTCTCGTGCTTCAAGGATCACGGTCGTGGCTCTGGTTATGTTGACAGGGGTCATCGGACAATATGTGTCTGTACGATGGCTAGTAAAATCATCATCTACAGTTATATATTCTCATGCATGTTCATTTCCCCTTACCACGCTTCAGCTGAACGAAATATAGACAGTTCCACACCATGAAAACGATTGTACAGGGAAGCTGCTAGCACGTGAGTCTGTGCAGTTTGATAGCAAGATCACTTGCATCATCATCATCTTGAGCATCGTTATCGTGTTTTTGGGCACCATAATTTCATTTTATTTATTTTCCACTCCTTCACTCCCACCCCCCAGGTCACACGACCTGCGTGAATACCTACTACTACTACTACTACTACTACTACTACTACTACTACTACTACTACTACTACTACTACTACTACTACTACTACTACTACTACTACTACTACTACTACTACTACCACTACCACTACTACTACTACTACTACTACTACTACCACCATTACTGCTACTGCTGCTACAGCTGTTTCTACTCTTGTTAATACTTTTGCTACTATTGTTACTACTATTAATACTACCACTACTACCACTACCACTAATTTTGTTACTACTATACTACTACTACTACTGCTGGTACAACTACTACTATTACAACTGTTTCAACTACTGTTACTATTACTGCTACTGTTACTACTATGACGGCGATGGCACAAGGCAAAGATGTCTTCACTGTAAAACACCAGATGGCATCTGTATGCTTTTCTTGATTAGATTTATTATCTCTTGCTTCACACAATGACGGGATAGGATGGAAAGTCCTTTATTGAAAAAGAAAAAAAAAAGGGAGGCACAGGATCTCTGTGGGGATAAGCAAGACTTTCTAACTACACTACTAGTTCACATTGTCACGTGTTTTACACTTGTATTCACCATCACTGGTACTGAGGCGGTATAGGGTCAGTACTGTGGTTTGTCGGACCCCCTAAACCACTCTGATCAGGCCGCTCTGACTTCATATTGGGCAAATAATAACTGCTTGTCCGGGGTCGTAAGGAGGGCTTCACGATAATTTGTGGTTTGCAAAGCTTGTATGGCCGTTCACCCTTTTTCAAATGCGAGACACTGCCACAGTAAGTGGTGAAGGTCTGCGTGGCAGCACAGCCCACAGTAGTTGCACGTCACTGTCACAATGTCCGGTTGTCGCCATTTTGCTAAAGAGTATGATGTGTATGCAGAATTTGCGTACACCTTATTAATGACGACTTCTTGGGAGCGTGAAAGTGAACATTTGCTGGAAAATAGGACTGGTGGGGTAACCTGCGCAATGCGTTTTTTACTAGCATGATGCAGGGACGTGTGTACGTAGTGTATTGTGGCTACTGAGGGAGCCATTTGACTTAAGAGCGCATACGGGCTCACCCTGAGGGGTAGGGGCGGAGAAAGATTGGTCGACCCACCTGCAGAAGCAGCAGCTGCGTGTGCCACCGTATTGCCCCCGGGCAAACCCGTATGCCCGGCGTCCAGATAATTTATATTGGCTCGTCAGCTTTTTCATGCCTACGAATGATGCTTTGAATAGCAGCTGCTGTAGCATCCTTCCGACGCTGGGCGAAATATTTCCGAGTAGGCAGCGTGCGAGTCGGTAAAGACACGAAGGGGTTTCTGTATAGTTTATGGGAGGCTTGCAGCCGCTCCCCTTATGGCAAGTAGTTCGGCATGCATAGGGGTACCGTTCGGTAGATGGCACCTGTAGGCCCCAGTGTACTCGGTGGTCTGCACGCAGATCCATGCTATACAAGCTTTGCCATCGGAAAGGGCAGCGTCCGTGTATATGTCTATGGTATTTAAGCTCACTTCCCTGAGTTGTCGCGTGGCAAAAAACTGGCGGGTAGTATTATTGCGACGAGATATGGGGCGACGGAACAGTCGAGAGGCTATTGGAGTTTCCCATAGGGGTAAAGGACTGATTAAGAAGAGGTGCATCATCATGCCGCTGACAATCCTAGGCCAGAAGGCAACGGCCTTGCAGTGTGTTTTCCAGGCAGATGTGGTGTCAAGTGTTGGCTTCACGGATGACGTCTTGCAGAGGGGGCAAGCCCCCTGCGGTTTCAAAGGCGGATATCTTAGTGTGTTTAGGGAACCCCGTGATTGTACGGAGAGTAGCCCGATGAAGGCGTTCCGAATTTTGGATGTCCGTTGGAGAGAACGTGTATATGGGTGCGCCGTACAAAATCTTTCCAACGGCCGCAGCTCTTGCGAGAGTGCAGCAGGCTTGTTGTCGCGCACCTCGATATTTGTTGGAGAGACGACGTATCATATGTAACGTAGTTAACCATGCCTGCCGCAGTCCATGTACCCCCCTTTATGGGCTGTTGCAGCTGGCTATTGGTAAACCTAAAACTTCAATTTGTCCGTTTTTTTATTATAGTGTGTGATCCAATATGGAGTGAGGTGCACATTTTCTGGTTGGTGCGATTCTTGCCGTCTATGCTTATAAGTTCTGTCTTATGTGGAGCTAGCTGCAGGCCTAATTCCTTAAACTGAGGAGGGTCGCCTCTAAACTGCCTCTAAACTGCCTCTAAACTGAGGAGGGCCGCCTACAGCTCGGTCTGCATTGATTCTTTGTCAGAATAATCCACTGCCTCTGTCCATATAGTAACATCATCGGCGTACATGGCGAATCTAGCAGTGGTGTCCCGTTCAAGGTTTTCTGCTACCCTGCTCATGGCCTGGATATGGCCAGATTAAACAGGGTCGGTCCTAAAATAGATCCCTGTGGAACACCTCTGTCCAAGTAGTAAGTTTTCGGACTCCATCCAGGTGATGCACCGCTTAAGCGAATGGGTCCGAGCTCCAAGGAAATTTCGAATCCATGTCTGCGCACGTTGACTTGGGTAGTGCTTAGCTAGTTCTTCAAAATGACGTTATGGTGAACATTATCGAACGCTTTCTGCATATCAACGGCCAGCAAGTAGTCAGGTAACATCTTTCTTGAGGTACGATTGATAACGCGCCGTAGCAGCCAAAGGCAGTCATGGGTGCCGAGGTTAGGGCGAAAACCTGCCTGGGCTGGATGGTATCCCGGCCGGGTTATCTCGATGTAATGGGACATGCGTGTGTGAATCATGCGTTCAATGAGCTTACATAAAGTAGAAGTTAAAGATATTTGCAGGAGGTTTTTCGCAGAAGGTCTTCTGTTTTTCATGTTTCGGAATAGTATAAATGAGAGACAGCTTAAGGTTCTCCGGAACATTTCGTGAGGCCCAGAGGTCATTGATTACCGCCAAAAGTACGTGCCTGGGCTTCATCTTCGAGGTTGGGGAGTTCTTGCCATTGTATTCGGTCGTGGCTAGGCGCCAATCGAGGACGCTCGTGTTTGATGGCTGGTTAGCATTTCTCCCATGCTAAATGGACGATCGAGATTCGGATCAGGTTGCGTTATGGTGTAGACTTTCGGAGATAGAGGCGGAGTGAGTGAAGCGTGAGAAAAGAACTGTGGTAATAACTTAATCTTCCACAACTGACGGAATCTTCTTTGAGGAACAGCTCGGCCAGAGGAGGGTTGCCCTTTCCTTTTCCGCTGAGGCTAGGAAAATTGCGACATAGACCTTGGAGGCCCGGTACTTGGCCAAGGCGTTCGCAGGTGGATTAGCAGACTTCGCTTTGAAGTTGGAGCTGATATTCATTGATAAGCTTAAATTGGCGCTAAATTTTCATGAGGTCAGAGTGTCATTTCTCGTGCAAGCGGTATCTTCTGACTAAATAGTCTGATGTTTTCCATAAATTGCCTAAATGGTTATCCATCGGTTGAGTATGGTCTTCGCATGGCACTGTTTCGCGTGCCAGCTCACGGGCCTGTTGAACAATGTCCATAAGGCCCTCAACTGTCTAGAAGGATCCAGTAACATTACTACGAGAAGTATTCCAATTAGTCATTGTTGTTGTTTTGATCCGGAGGCATTTTCAATGAAGTACAACGAATTTTGGGAGATGATCACTGCTTCATGACTGGCTGCAGACTGTCCAGTGCCATACAAACTGGGGGGCTGGCGAGGGTAAGATCTGGGGTCGTGTCCCTCTGCGCTCTATATAGTCCTATTCTTGTAGGGGTGTCGGGAGCGTTACAATTTCTACAGAATAGAGTTCAATAGCGTCGTAAAGATATTTTCTGCGTTTATTCGGCTTTCGGGCACCCCAGGCAGGGTGATGAGCATTAAAATCGCCTCCAATGAGCAGAGGGAGGTTCTTAGATGCTTGCTCAAGCGTCCGTCTCCAGCCATGTGTATGGTCTAACTGAAATATTTCCTGGGCGAAAATACGCAGGCACGGCCACGAAGGGCTTTTGGGCAGGAGGACAAAGTTTAACAGCTACTATTTTGCGAGCATTAGAACTGAGATCAGGAATGTCCAATTGAGTGGCCGGGCAGTCATTATGCACCAGAAGCGCTGCCTGGCCTTTGGGAAGCTGTCATCTTATGTTTGATGGCTGGTGTCTGAAAAGCACGGTACCCAGGAAGCCAGCACATGCCACACGTCTCCTGGAGAAGAAGGAACTAGGGGCGATGCCTTTGAACATAATTACTGAATAGTGGAGTGTGTTTGATTAAAACTACGACAATTCCACTGCATCCCCTGAGCGAAAGAGCTCATGAGGAAGGCCTTGGTTTGCGGTGACTTATTGTCATCAGCGAGGACACTGTGCTGCAGTTCATCAAACATATTTTGAAACCGAGTTTGCATAGTATCAAGGGCTTGTGTTAGCTGTTAACCATCTCCGACCGAATCGCATGCTCCAGCTTATTAGATTCTTGAGCCCGTTCTTGTCGCAGGAGCCCAATAATGTGAGAGTAGGCGGAGTCCTTGTCTGTAACCTGGTTTAGAACGACGTGTCGGAGAACGGCTCTTTCTTTTATTTCGAGACCGACTGTGACTTGGCGTTAGAGACTGATTCCCTTTCTTTTGGTCCAGCGTGAGGTCGCGAAGTCTCCGATTTTCCTACCATAATTCCTGTACTTCTTGGCGAAGGCTATTGATAAGCTGAGTCAGATCGGAAGAAGCGGCTGTTTGAGCCTAGGTTACTTTCCGAGGCGTCGGAGGGGTAGGCTGTGTGGCAGATGTCGTAGATGATGAATCATTAGTGTTGCGTGGAAGGGCTGATTCAGATATATTTCGTTCAGGACAATGAGGGCTGAGTGAAATGTGTGTGGACGCTCGACAAGCCACGCAATGAGGAAACTGCTTACAGTTTGAGTCGACTTCATGCGGAGCTTTGCCACAGTCCCGGCATACTGGTGGGAAGAAACAGTATTTGTAAACATGGCCCAAACGATGACAGTTGTAGCATGCGACCGGGCGAGGCCGATATTCGTCAACACGGATGACTTCATATTCAAACACCAAGCGTTTCGGTATGGCGTCTGTATCAAACGTCAAAAGCAGCAGCTGTGTTTTACCGAGCATGCGCACATCGGTGATTGTTGCCTGTTCATAGCACAGATGCGCTTTGATGTACTCAATTGTTAGGCCGTGTCTGATCTTTATTACCCTACAAGAGCTGCCGACTGCGTGTGGCTGAAAAGGTGATGTGTCGACATCAATTACTCACATGCTATCATTGACTGTTGCGACTAAGTGCGAGAGTGTGCATAGTTTGCAAAAATGACCTTCATCACGAAGTGTGATCCGTACGCAGTTACTGGTTATGTCAATGCGGAGAATTGACATTTCTGCAATAAAGGTTGACGGAGTGGTTTGCTCTATGGCGTTTGTAAAGGCTTGTTTCGGAATGTCTGTCACATGCACTTTGTTTAGCGGCCTGATCAAAACAGTATAGCCGGGCCGACTCACCCGTTCGGCGTGCAGTCTGTTCGGTGACACTTGGCGTCGGTAGTACACGCCGTTATTCTTTTGTACCCTGTTGTCGAGAAGTTCGGTGGTGCCGGTAGAAAAGCCCGCTGCCATGTCGTTGACATGAGGTCCGGTAGACGATTCTGATGACAACGTAGACTGCGTTGCATCCATTGTCTCGTTTTCGTCCGATAGCGTTGGGAAATTGCTCGAGTTCACTAGAACGCTTGTGCATGCCGTGGTCGTTTTCATAGTAGGCGTCTTGAGATTCGGAGTGAAACAGAATGACGAAAGCAGGAAAATATAAAAGATGGAGCAACTGAACTTAAGGCATTAAGATTGCTTGAAGGGGCTCTGTCCTGCTGTAGACATACAATAGACTATTGACCATAACGACAGCTGTGAGCAGTGTGTCCTGATAGCAACAGTGGCTCACTGGTTTTGATGGGCTGATGTCCAAGCTGCACTACTGTTTTCTCATCTACATTTTTGCTGGTTACAGTCCCTAAGTTTGTGCACGCAACAGGAGTCGGCTGAAGAGGCCCTCAAAACACTCTTGTAACACATCTGTAAAACACCTTTGATCGAATCAAATCTATGCACTCATCTTCTTAACAATGAGGTTCATAGGCAGAGAGTACGGAGAGGGGGGGGGGGGCTAAGGTTAACTACAGTTGATAGTAAATGTGTGCATACATCTCATGCACAGTGTGATGGTATCACAGTTCACTAGGTTAACATCATTTGAAGCAAATGTATGCATTTATCTTGTAAGCTGTGTGGTTGTACTATGATCGAGTAGGTTTACTGTAATTAACTGTATGCATCCACTTTGTTAACACTGTGGTTTTACTACGGTTGGATGCAGTTGAAGCAAACGAATACATCAATCTCATACGCTATGATTGACTAGGTTGACAACAGTCAAAACAGATTAGTGCGTTGGTAGCATAAGCAGTGTGGCTGTACTATCACTGACGAGACCTTTCTCTAATATTGAGCTTCTGCATGTATCAGGACATGAGAAGACGTTAGCTACTGTGGAGGTGTTTAGGTAATGAGCTGCTGACCCAAAAGTTATGGGTTGGACTTCGGCCATGGCAGTCGCATTGCGATGCAGGCGAAATGATAAAGGCCTGTGTACTTAGATTTAAGTGCACGATAAGCCCTGTCTAGTCGAAACCTTTGGGCTGCTCCACTGTGGCACGCATCATAACATTATTGTGGTTTTTGGCATGTAGAACCCTGGAAATTATTATTCTGTGAAAGAGGTCCTTCTCTTTGTCATCCCAGCATCTCACAGTTGTTTGCTTGAGTATGGGAAGCACCCCAAATTAGAAAAAAAGTATCCCTGGCCAATTCTATTGAAAGTCAGTACTGTTAACCAACTTATTCATTTCCAGTGAGATGATTTTGAACTTCATGACACTGCTGTACTTCACACGCAGGAAGTTCGACATCTACAATACACAATCAGCACCCATTTCTTTCTTGCTCAATAGCATGCAAGTCTTGAATGTTGGCTTGCTTGGTGCATTTTCAGTAATACTAGTATACTTAGTGTCAAAACCACTTCCACAAAAAGGACGCCTGTACGGCACAAGATGTGGTTTTATTTGGGTGTTTATTTTGTGTATGAGAGCACCCACTCTATCTGTGTGCCCTTCCTGTGGCCATGGCTATGGTGTGAAGCCTGTTTTGACTCTGACTCTGGCATTATTCTTCAATGTTGCATTTGTTACGTTATGGCAAATGGACTGCTTTCAGCATGTTTTCATGAACATCTTATATGTAATTGTGCATCGAAATGTGAGTGCTTACTTATGCATTTTCCTGTTAGTCACAGCCGTCAAATCTCTGATAAGCCCGGCTGCAAGTGTATGACTGCTTCACTGTAGTATAACTTGCACTGACTCTTAGCTTTTGCAGCTTGTCATCGGGAAGCCATTTCTTGTTATAAAGATGGAAGCCTGAATGACTCGTGGGAAGTGTTATGTGGCGAAAAGCTGCCATGGGTTACAACCAGTCACATCACCACCTGTACATCTCTGACCCTAGGCGCATGAGCTGTGCATTTGCTTAGTCTTTGCAGCATTTGCATAATATGAAGTGCGTGGTAAAATGGCCATATCAAATGGATTTTGTGTTTTTGTTGTCTTAGGGTAATGTATAAGGGACCCTGCAGATTTTAAAGATGATGGTTTTTCTTGCGATACCTCAACGCATAAATTTTGGTCTGTCAGTCTGTCCGTTCGTCCCCCGATTCAGCCACTCGGTGAAAGTTTAAGCCCTTGGTAAGCTCCCAACCATCTTGATCTGGTGGCTGTGTTCATACTTGTGAACACTGATGATCAAAAAGTAAATATTAGGTATACCTGAGGCACGACATCAATACATAATAGGTGGGGTGTTTCTTCATGAGACAATGCATAGATACGCAATTCTAAAGAGCCTAGTTTTTCTTACGCTGCGTGGACTGTGTGACACTATGCACAATAAATCGGGTGTTTCCCACTTTTTAGTAAACAGATACGGTGCTGCCACCTACCAGTGGCTGTACGTTCTACACAAACTCTCGTTTCCCAACATTACTGCCAGATGGAATTCATATTTCATGCAGTGCCTCCATAGAAGACGACCTTCTTTTGAGGACATTTGCAGCGAAGAACGCAGATATGCAGCAATTTTTTTGTTGCTATTTGCCAGCAGATGAGTCATTAGACCAAAGTCTTCGAGCAGCCAACGAAACATGACGGGACGTCATTGCAGGCGGAGGCGGCTGTCCCATCGGCGGCGGAGGCAGCAGAGTGGCTGAGGTGGATGGGTGAGCAGGTGCTGCGTCTCGCGGAGGAAGTGCTGCGGCTGGAGCGGGAGCTGGCCCAGCAGCGGCAGCTGCGTGCGCACCAGGCACAGCGCGCACACGCGCAGGCACAGGCGGTGCGCCTCTGGGTCGCCCAGCGCCTCAGGCAGCTCGAGGAGCACAACACCCGACTGCAGGCAAGGCTCAGCTCTTCATGCAAATCTTCGAATGTTTGAAAATATCACAGCTTTGCCGTCCCTCATTTCTGGTGGTTACAATATTAACTAATTTACAGTACTTACCCACCACTTACCACTTCAACTATCTCATTTCCTGATATTCCGGTTCCATGTAATTTATGTACAGCCCCATTTCAATCCAATTTAGAATTCATTTTTGTTTTACATTGCAGGAGCAGAATGAGCGGTGCAACGAGCAGCTGGAAGAACTGAGACGGCGACTTGCGCAGCTGAGCGAGCAGCTAGCGACCAGTGCCCCGCCCGACGACGACGAAGCTCCGCCCGCCTACACGGCTGCTGTCCTGCACCCCACGGTAGGGTCGCCTTCGCATGACACTTCTTATCGTGTATCGATGTTTTCCAAATGTTCCTGTCTCTACAGTTACACCCTCAGTATACTCTGAAACCTCATGATAGCCAAGATGCATCTTAAAAGAAAATATATTTGTTATATCGAGCAATTCGTTATAAAGGTTATTCTTAACACTGTAGCTATTGAAACTATTTTTCATTTACTTTATTATAGCTGATATTTTGTTATTTCCGTGTTCATTATATTGAGCTTTGAGTGTAGTAGGGAAGCAGGTAGAGGCACTTTTTTCATACGTGGCTTGCTTTGAAGGCTCTGAAAACCACTGTGTTGATGCATATGCATTGGGGGAGGGCGGGGCGAAGTTCGTGATGTCATTTGACATTATTGGAACACCACACGCAGGCCCTTTTAAAACTTTAAGCACATTGTTATCATATTAAAGCAGACCCAAAAATAGGGTCGACAGCGTTTGGTCGGAGTCACTATACAAAGTGTGAACCGCTGAATATTATGAGAGAAATGTCAGCTTGCAACTGTGAACAACGCTGATGCATTAAATTGGCATAAAGTTGCAGCTCGATTTGCAAAATATGGCCGCAACAAGGAAGCAGACGTAATGTAAGAGATGTTGTCATGTCATTGTGATGGCAAAGAAACTTTTAGTCATACTAGCAGTAGTTTAGTTATGTATTGTGCAAACTTGTGCCTAGCAAAAGAAACAGAACATACAAACAAGTTAATACTCGTGGGACAATGATAGTAGCAGGGAGAGTTATCATTCTTCAATAATCCCATCTTTGGTGAAACGCGGTCAACTTTTATATGTGCGTTATCGAACATCCCAGCGCCCTTGCCAGTACTCCCATTACTTTCAGAATGAACTGCACTGCTACTCACATGAGTGAGTTTTAGCGAATCAAAGTGGGTATTATTTTGACGATTCTGAGTTTGAGTGTGGCTTATTGAAGAAAATTTAGGGAGTCTGAGATCGAATGAGTCCGAATGAGAAAAACATTGATGAGTAAAAGCCCAAGGAGCCCTAAGGGCAAGGCATGTTTCATGTTTCGTAAGTGAGTCAGAGTGCTAAATCTTTTGCTGACTTATGCATACATAGTATTAAACTGCTTAAAACAGTTTTGTGAAGAGCCGAAACTCTTTGTATGCTGCCAATAAAAGCTTCCTTGTGCATTCCTTGTAATCCTTACATATAGAGTTTTTTTCACTGAGTCCGAGTGTGCGATATATTGCACGTGCGTTTGTATGCGTACAGAGCGTTGTACGTTAAATAAACTTCTTCTGCGTGATAAGGTAGTGTCATTTGTCTAAAAGTGCATTTTCTTGATAAATATAAAGAAATTCGTTACTCGTGTCTCACAAAGATATTCTGAAAAAATCTTTTTTTTTTGCAATAGACTATTAGTGCCTTGAAATGATGCACCCGCTTTGGCACAATTATGGGCAGTTCTTTAAATGTGACCTCTCAAAGGGTCAATGCTATATTTTCGTATTTTCTCTAAAATAGTCAACCAACTAGCTTATCAACAAAAGCTGTTGGTGCTAGGAGTTGCTGAGTTTTCTCTCCCTCGCAGAGTTGTCCGGGAGTGCGGTTGGAGCGCAAGCGTTTCCGGGAGGTCACCACACTCTCCTCGTGCAGTTCCATGGCCTCGCCCGAGGAAGACGGCACGGCCCACAAGGGGTGCGCGATTAATCTCTGAATTTCAATTCTGTGTATATTTGATGCTCGTAGGCACAAACTTCAGAAGTGTGTTGCCGATGACGTCACTAGTGACAAAGGTTTTGTGCCCGACGAATGCAGCACGTTGAAGCACTCAGAAATATGTGCCGTAGAAGAAGCAAGGACGTAGGGGCGGTTACGCACCAGTGTAGCTGCTCGTGGTTTGTGGATCCGGTAAATTAGTAAAGAGCAATAGTTTTACAGACAGCCTAGAGCTGTTTTGTAATGATTTGCATGCTGTCGTTGTCTAAGCAGTACTTGTCTGTATTGCCTTTCTTTGCTGTTTGTTTTGTTCCACGTTGTAAGTTTTTCTTGTTCAGTAGAATGCCAGCTCGTGGAAACGTTCAGGTTAACCATTTGCTACCAATTGAGACAATTTTTTTTTCATCAGACTAAAGGAAATGGCTCCGTGCTCCTTCAAAAGCTGTTGAGCTTTTTCAGTGGCTTTTGGCTAGCTTCTGGCAACTGTGGCGTTTTGTATAATATGGTTGGCTCACTTTCCAGGTGGCCAAGTCCAGCGCTCGAACGGTGTCGACGAGGCGTAGTAGCTCCGGATGAGGAGTTGCACGACTACGCCGAGATATACACCCCGAGCCGGGAAGAGGGACCTGCGGTTCCGGGGAGTGACACTGGGCGGCCCCCTACACCCCCAAGACACCGTTTCCCATCTTGGGTGAGTCATCCTCATAAGTGTGCATGCAATCTGCAGTGTTTTCAGGCACTAATCCAGTGAGCTTAATTTCTGAGTAACGTGCTAGCAGGCTTTTCAAATGCTGTTTGCATGTAGTGAGTCGCTAAAGGCGTTACTGCTATATTAATCTGATAATTCTCCAATTAATGCTTATGGAATGTAATGGTTTTGACTGTGATAATTAGTGTTTCAGGTAATGTAAGCAATACTCAAGGCCTTTTGAAAGCTATTATCGAAGCTCTGCTGCCTGCTATCAGTAGCGCCGTGCTCTTTTATGTCTAACGAATTTGATTTGAAACAATTCAATGGCTGTTGAATGAGAGCATGTCTGCATTACATATGCAGGGTGTCCCAGCTATCACACAGCAGGATTTAAAACAATGAGTGGTGTTTAATTAATTAGTCATATCTATTTTTGTAATTTGACAACTACTACTCGCTTAATAGTCTAAATGTCAATGAGGCATATGTAGGCATATTCAGAAGTCATCCATCTAGGCTGTTTTCAACAACATACTATTTGTGGGCTCATTTTTTTTTTTTCATTTAATAAAGAATGCTCCTGAAATCTTAAAAGTCACATGAGGCTAGATTGGTGTCAAGAAAAAGACGCAGGAAGAAAAAAAAAATATGGGTCACCATGTCTGCCCCTCCTAGGCGGAAGAAATATGTTGCTTGTCTTGTGGAGACCGTGGTAATCTAAACAGTGCTCTGGCTGGGATACCATAAAGGACAGTCGGACATAGAATATGAATAATGATAGCGGCATACAATCTTGGGGAAGAAATCTCTGCGAAATCCTGATGCATGTTGTTGCTGCTCGCCCTGTACCCTTGCCTAAGGAAAGAAGATAACATTGTCTCTTGCAACGGACGAAAGGCTAAACCATTTCTGGTAGTAAGCTCATTCTAGGGCACTGCTTTTTTTTTTGTTTTGTGGTGAGAGCATAGTCACAGGTTACTTTTCAAGTTTTGAGGGCTTTTTCAGGAGCTGGAAAAAACGAGCAGAGAGTCAGTATGTTGTTGGAAATAGCAAAATTGTCCTTTGAACATGCCTACTTGTGCCTCACTGACGTTTTGATAATTAGTTCAGTACTTGTCTGGTTACAAATAGAATCATGGCTAATTTATAATAAAACTCATTCACAAAAAAATATAGTGCGGCTACTCCAGTCTGCTGTGACATTGTCTGTTTGGAACAATATCTGCTAGATTTGCATTGCATACGGCTGTTCCTCTTTTTGTAAATCTTACAGCGTAATAGTTGTGATGCCATGTATACTTGAATATGTGACACAGCTGTTCCTAGTTAAAGCCAAGTTTGTCATTCAAGTGAATGAGTCTGTGTATTTCTCAAAAATATTGGTGGTAATGAACTAAACAATGTGAAAGGCTGCATTTGCCGTAGAAAGCATGAACGTTGGTGCCATCATTCACGTACACTCAAGGAGTGTAGCTGCAATGTGAAGGCGGAAACATTTCTATTTATTCGGCTGGAAAACTTTGCAAAAGTACGAGAGTGAGCTAATTTGCATCATGTTCGGTGCATCTACCCTCAAGTGAAATAAGTGGCTAGTAATTAGCATTATACTCCTAAATTATTTCTGAGTGTTTATTTTTCGAGGTTAGTCAGTCAAGAACTTTATTAGGAGGTCCTGAGGACTTTAAGAAACTAAATGGCTTTTTTTCACACTCTGGCTTCAAAAAAACCTTTCCAATTATCTAGCTATCCACAACATGATTATTCAATATGCAATACACTGTAAAGCTTTGCCGTGTCTTTATCGTGCACTTTACTATAAGTACTGCACCCACCTGATCTGGTTTTTCTAGTATAAATGTGCCGCCTTTTTTCTGTCAACGTGATAACGTTAAAGAGCTTGTCTTGCAGAAATTCAGGCATCAGTCTCAGCATCGGCGTCATTTGTTGTGAGAGACAAATCATCTTGTTTGTGACCGAAAAATTGAGGAAGATGCGAATAAAATCAACAATAACAGTTTCTGGGTTCAACTGAGAATTGAGCCCGGGCCATCTGCATGGCAAGCAGATGCTCTTTCCTGAGCTACAATATTTGTTGGAACTGCTTTGGAAAAAACACTATATGCATGTCATGTAGCAGAACGAGTCTCCTTAATGCATCATACACTGCGTAGCAGAAGCGTAGAATCGTGCCAGGCATCAAAAGATGCGAATTGAGTAACGAGGGGGTGTTTTAAAGGCCCACTTATTACAAAGTTCTCAAGCATATTTAATCATCATCAGCACCAGAACCACCAACAGAGTGGGCAGGTGCGTATGTTTGCGTATTGCCCAATGCTGATTTGCAAAAGGAATAATTATGGAATTGGGGGCACTTGACGACGGTACTGGCAATAGGCATTCGATAATAATTTGGAACTGACCACTGTTACGTGCACAGTCATTGGTTTCCTTATGGCAGGGCCGAGGCATGCGCCAAGAACCAAAGCAGATTAGCAGTTGAGAAGGCAATGCTCTAGTGTCCTTTAATTTTTATTTATTTAATAATTTTTTGTGCAGGAATCTCGCATCTATGAGGTTGCGGCCAACGGCATCATCCAGTCACTCCACTCGGGCACTTCAGGTAAGTTAGCTTAATTTTACTCTATGAGTGACCAAAAAGTATCAAGAACTGCTACAAAGGCTGTTTTAGACTTCATCAAAAGCACTGGACTAGATACTAGGCTGTAGGGTGCTATGCTAAGTGGCTACTGTACGTACGCATCACCTCTTCCATTCCCCATCACCATCCTTCATCCCTCTTTCTTTCTCCCTTCTCTTATCTCCTGTGTAGAGTAGTTGGCTAGAGCGAACTAGCTGAGGCCCACTTCTCTACCTTCTAATGAATTCTCTCTCTCTCTCCACTTTTTATTTCTTTTTTATATCTTTAAGGATAGCTGTTCTCAATATGACTTAGTTATAACCAATAGTTCGTTGTATCAGTATTCGTTATGTCAAGATTTGAGTGCTTATTCAACTTTGTGTAGTATTAGTTTTTCCTAAGTGGGCTGGGAGTGGTATTCAAGCCTGTGCACGTTGCACGCGCAGGTGCCTCGAGCCTGGAAGGTACCCTGCCTGGCAGCCGCCTCCACAGTGCCTTCTCCGAGCTCAGCGTGCCTGTCTATGCCGCTGTCAAAGGGGTGAGTGTTTCTCCTTTATCCACTACTTGCATGTGTGTTGGGCCCGTCTTAACACTGCACCCTGCTTCCTTCATGTCGTGGTTGAGTGAAGAGCATATGAAGGAGCAGGCATATAGTATTAGTGACTACTGTATAAAAAAGATGAAGAGATGTAGACTAGCGCAACTGCATGGTGGCTCGGCAGACAAGGTCTCTATGGGTATCATGCTTCGCACAGTGTCCCATGTGACAGTTGCTCCGATCATGTTATGCAATGCACGTAGCGCCATCTACATGTGGCTGTGCAAACTACCACCATGACACCTTCGCTTGCCCGCTTTGTGCCCTCAGTTTTTTCTCAGACCAGTGACTTTCGACAGGCTATTGGACGGGAAAACAGCACAGATGCTAGAAACCGTTCAGATTTTCGTTTCATTCCAATCGACAGTGCTGTAGAACCCATGCAGGTCATGGGGTTCTACGAGCCGGCCTCTCTGAATTTCGCAGTACGGTTGTTTCTTATCTCTGCATTGCGTTTAATGAAACGACTGCTTTGTTTCTCACATTTACTATTCACCGCCATTGTTTGTTCACCCATATTTGTTCCAGTACAAGACAGCAATATGCAACCTGTGAGTGAAAGTAATGTTTCTGTGGCAGCAAATAAACTCAAACCTTAAATATAACAAACATGGATATAATGGAATATTGTTTATAACAAAGTCAATAAAGTGTAGTCTTGCACTAAATGCAGGGTTAGAAATACACCTTGATAATTAATTTTTGAATATAACAATCTTATTTTTTGTAAGATGCAAGTTTGTTACAATTGTACAATACTTGTGACGTACGTCATAGTATTTTGTTACCAGGAAGTATGATACATAAAGTTACATTAGATTTCATAATGCCCTTGTCTTTCGTATGGGACACTCTATATTTTGGTTGAAAATCTGAACAATGGCAAAAATCTTCCTCACATTTGTGTTGATGGAACCCGATGCGAATACCTTTCTCAGAAATGTGCAAAAAAAAAGCAATATTATGCTGGAGGTAAACTAAAGCTACTGTTACCTAAGTTTACATACCTTACTTGGCACACCTTGGACGACTGTTGTAATGTCGACACTTGACATGTTCTCTTTCCTCTCGACCGCGCAGCGAGCTTCGCAGATTCGGTCAATGCCTTTCACGGGAGAGTCATCGGATTCGTCGGACAACGAGGATACCAGTCGGACGCCCCTTAGCGGATCCAGTGACCGATCCCCGAAGGCTGTTGGCGTGCGCAGAGGTGCGTCTTCACACCAAGGCCAGTGCTAGTGGTGTGCTGGTGTAGTACAGTGTGACATTAGTCGAACTAATGTAATGTAGTCCTAATAATGGGGATTGCTGTAGGCCATCTTTTTTGTGGAAAGTCTCCAGATGCGTGCAGGGCATGGGCATCTCATTATGTGTGATTTGAGTACATTTCAGAGGTTGCCATTACCATGAGTAGTCAATAAAAAATGGCTGAAAGATCGTTTGCATTAAGCTGAACTTTAAAGCAAATTCAAAATCACAGAGTGTAGGACGGATAGGATGGCTATTTTGTATTGCAATGCTTGTAAAGAACCTGGAATGCCTTTGGCTGCTTGCGGAAGCAGAATGGGTGTGACAGATTCATTTACGGTACATTGCCACTGTGCAATAGACTTCCATTTCTCATGGCTTTATGGGCACTATATGTCAAGTGAGAACAGAACTTTGTCAGCATGGCGTCAAGCCATAAATATGGTCACCGCCTGGCAAGCTCAACGAAATGACTTTTCTGTTGTTATTTGAATGACTTTTTTCATATGATCCTACTTTATGGCCATGTATTTACTATACTTTGCATGATACACCAAATTTCAGTATGATACAGTAATCTGCCAGCGTTGTCAACTTTGTTATATCATGGTTAACTATAGTAGTGACTATCTTTTTAAAATTTTTGAAGCTTTATTGTAAGAAATGTCCTTTTTCGTTTTTTTTTGCTTTCTCTCGTATGACTGGTTAAACACTGCATGGGAAACAGCTTTTCTATGAGACTTCTTTGCATCTAGGACGTTTTCATGGTTTGACAAATTTTTTTGCAGTTGGCCCTCAGCTTTTAGTAGTTACAATATTAGTACACTTGTGGAAACAGGGAGACAGATGTCGTTGCCGTGATACCACAAGTTATATATTTCGTCTGAAGCCATTTTTGGCAGGCGCGAACCAGGACGACGCAGCCATCTCGTGCTTCGTGTGTTGTTGTTGTCTTCTGGTCAGATTCTTGTAGCCTTCACTAGTACGCTACATACATATCTCAAACATGCAATCCCGACTCTCACCCACGCAGAGACTTCGGCCGAGTCACTGCTGTCGGATGATTATGCAGTCCCTCCAGATGCAGTGTCCACCACTGCCGACACCCTGAGCCTAGACTCCCTCGAACCGCACCCGCCGGTGGTCTCCAGGGGCACCCAGGTATGTCCTGTCATACCACTTGTAAAAGCTCATAACTTCGAATCTCAGGGGACTGGAAAAAAAATATCAGAATTAACCGAAAGCTGATTTGTCTAATGTATTGAAAGAACGAGGAACTATGTATTGAAAGAACGAGGAACTGTCTGTTACATCAGTGCATTTTCATGTTCTCGATGAATGGATATATTCAGTACTTATTTTTCATAAGAGCAATGTAAAAGCTGCAATTGTTGTGATTCACTACGTCGTTCACAATGTGACTACGAGTCGATTCCCCTGAGTTTAAAGCCGAAATGGGCTCAATGTCATCCCTTGTTATGTGCTGTCACCAGCAACAACACCTTGAGCACTTGCAGGTAATCTTGCAGGAACACTAGTAGGTACAGTTTGCCCATGCAGCAACTTGTGCCAAGGAAAGTAAAAAAAAACTGAACAAATATTTCTGTGTTTTCTAATTATGTTAGTTGTGACTCAGTGCTTTCTCATATTTCTTCCTTGCCTCATTTTTTTATTTTTGAAGTACCCCATCAAGATGTGCAGCCAGCTTTCCTAAGCTTTGCTCAATCCACAGTTGATCTGAAATGCTTGGTATAGTCTAGTTTAGTTGATGCATGGAGTGCTGTGCTGTTGTTCTCAACTGCTCAACTGACAAGGAGGTTTGCAATGTTGTCCTCTTTTATATGCGAAGCAGCTTATGGCAGGGGCTTTGTCCCTCCCTCCTTCCTGCGGTGTCCACACACCCACAGAGCATCCTCTTCTCCTCTCTCACCTCTCCTACGCTCCCCTCATTCTCTTCCGAGTCGGCAGGCGAAGGCAATGAGACGCTTCCTCAGTACACATGATCACTTTGTTGCCGTTGATCATCTGTCTTGCTGGCGTTTCACTTTTCTGAGACAGAATGCGTCTGCTTCAGTTAGCACAGCAGCCTGTTCGATGTCTCTGGCATGTGCGTTGAGGTACCGAATGTTTAGCGCGTGGTATAATCATGGTCACCGGCAGCATTCATGGCAGTGGTGACCAGCTTAAAGCAATGGTGACCGGCAGCATTAGTCTGGTAGAGGTTCTGAATGTTGGTGCACCTGCTTAAGGGGGGACATGGTGTGTGGAGATATTTTCTGTATTTGTGGACCAGACATGATGAAAATATATATGCTTATGTAGTTTCTCCTGCTGATTTCAAATATGTAAGAATTTTCATTGTAGGTCAATTAATTTAGAAGATACACAATGCTGTCACTCTATTGTTTTGGAGGCAATATAAAAGAAAGGGCTTATCAAAAAGTAAATATTATTGCATAGCTAGACAGTACAATTAGCAATAAGTGCAATGCTGCAAGCAAATTTCAAATTAAAGAAAAACTAGTGATTCTGCAGATGATGAAAGTTGAGGAGTCATGTCATGGCTATTACATACAAAAAAATATAATACCTTCTAAATTTATATGGACAGCAAATGGAAATTCTGCTCTCAGCACATTGTAATACACAGATGGGGCTTTACGTTAATGAAAAAATTATTGCTCTAGCTGTTCTAGAAGTAAAGTCACCAAAAAGCATGTTATCAGAAAACTGAGAAAAAGAAATGAAACTCATTCATTTACATAACTGCACTTGAAAATGCTCAGTATGCACCGGGCATGTAGTCCTTTTGACTATGAGTCCCTGTGTGGCGCTTTTTCAAGGACTGGTGCTTGTTCTCCGTGGCTTGTCGCTTCTTGACTGATGCTGCCGTGAGCCGTCGATCCTTTTCAGCCATGCGACTGCGGCTTTGCCAGCTGGGGTTTAAGCTCAGCTCTTTCATAATTTCCTCTGATGCCATTTTATTGCCTGCATTGAACTTGAGCACTGCTTCTGCCCCAGCTGCCTCCACCGTGAATAGCGAAGCATGTCGCTCCTTTGGTGCCAACGCCCAGATCATTGAATGCAGGAATTTGTTGTTATTTTGGGTTTTGCCTCGCTGGCATCGTTGCAACAGCTTTCTGCCTGACAAGTGCTTATAAATGGGAAGTAAGGCTTGGCAGACATGTGGAGGCAGCTTTCGACGATGTTTGGGAATGGGCTCCCCCTCGGCCTTTGCCGCATTTTGTTTGCACCAGGAATTTGGACCAGGTGGGCACAGAGTGTGGTTTGCCACATCATCATTGGACGTGATGTGATGATAAGTGGCCATCACTGCTGTGTGCATAGCATAAACATCACCATTGTGTGTCTTCAGAGCCCACCCATAATAATTGGTGAGCTTGGAGACCAGGTCTCCTGTCAAGCTGCCCTTTCCCCCAAGACTCTCAAGGCCTGGGCCTTTGTGTTTTGCAAAGTTGCGCAAAGCAGTGCCCATATGCTTTTGGACATAATTAATGCAGTCCTCTTTTTCCACTTGGGATATATATACCCATAAACCTTATCTTCTTGTAGCGCAAGGTAACTGCGACTGTCCCCGTCGTAAAGCACCATGGTGTGGCGCAAGGTTGTGCCACTCAAGTGACCTCCTGAAGAGGATGAGGGCAGCCTCAACCTCCATTTCTCCAGCCTTCTTGTCATTGTTTTTCTGACGCTGGTGATGTTCCTTCCACGCTGCATAAGAAGGGTCACCTTCCTTTGGGCTCGACTCGCATCCAGCACAAAAGTTGCTCAAAACAACGAAGTCAAGCACCAGTCCGCTGAACAATTCAATGACGGTGCCGCGACCAATATGCGAGGAATGACCGCGAGTCATCCATGACCCATTCAAACGACACCGCGAATGTTTCCCATGTGGCCCTTATTAAGTTTGGGGCAAAGTTCACGAACCGACCGCGCGCAGTCGCTCGTCAAATTGCGTGCAGCACGATCGGCCGCGGGTGCCAACTTCGTCTTCACGTAGTGTTGTCACGTTTTCAGTCTGAGTACCTCGAATGGCTGATGCCCATCAACGAGAACACATCATTCAGCGCGGTCTGTCTGTTCCCCGTTGCCTGCATGGCATGCGCGGCCAAAACGTTCACAGCAAAAGGTTTCATACATTCATCGCTACGTACGCGCGGCGAGCTCCACACACAAAACGCAACTTCACGGGGAGTCCGAATTCCTGGTCGTTGCGGACAATCTGCAGTTCTCCGTTGCATGCCTTGCACTTTTCTATAATTGTGAACGTGGTTCCATCAGGTGGCCGAGCTGCTTCGTCGGCACCGTCAACCACGAATGCGCGTTTCCGCTCCGTCGCTGCAACTCCGATAACTTATCTTCGGCTTTAGCTCGCTCCTCTTCCAAGTCAGATTGCTGCTGATAGATAGTATCTAGACGCCTGCGACCGCTGCTCGAAGGCTCCGCGGCTGACAGACTTTGCACAGGCTCCGTGACAACTGATGCGGTCTTCTGTGGTAGAAGTGTGGCTGCTTAAGCTAGTTGGTATGGCATTATGATAGTTATAGTGTGAGAACAAAATGACGACACAGAGATAGTTATAGCGCTCGTGTCCTTCGTGTCCTTCTTGTCTATAGCACTCGTGTCCTTCTTGTCTCTGTGTCGTTCTGTTTCATGGTAGCGTTGACGACTTTGCCATGGGCCGCGGAGAGTGTAGCGTCTCAGGGCTTTCGCTGTATCATGAAGCGCTTCTTAAAATTCGTGACTAGCGTCCTTCGCACCTTTTCTCGCACCAAACTTGTGCCGCTTGCCGAACTTGGGCTCGGGATTTGACATCGTGAAACTTCTCCGCTGACACTGAGGCAAAATGGCACGCATGGACACGCGCCTCAATACCCGGAGCAGATGAAGCCAGGAGCCTTCACCAATAGGGAGGCAAGTTCAAGTCACGTGCGCGAAGTAGCGAATAGGAAAACGCTCTGATACTTCTTTTTGCCGCCCATTTTACAAGCTGCCAATGGTTGAATTAGACCCATTCTGGTGGGAATTTGAAGGCGAAAGACTGCTCTCTCAAATGAGACCAAGCGGGCCGTGCTGGCACACATGAAAGGGCAGGGGCGCGTCACAGAAAGTGTGCGATTGCAACGTCGATTCTGGCTCACATTTAGCTAGAAAGCGCCGTATAAAGGTCTTAGTGGCTAAAATAATGATACTATAGGCATGAAATTCACGGTATAAGTGCACTAGTAGCTGTAGATTTCAAAAACGCAATAAAAAAAGCTAGTTTTTTTGCGATTTTTCGGTCTCCACAACCTGTGTCCCCCCTTAAGGCGACGTAGACGAGCTTCTGCGGGTTTTGTTCACTGCCTCCCAGCTGTTTCACATCCACATTTGGTTCCCTTTAACGGGAGATGGCGTAATTTTTATTTTATTTTTTTCCTGCAGGAGAGCCTTTATCCCGCCCTACCTGAGCCAGCCGAGAAGAGCGGCTACCTGACCAAGCTTGGGGGCAAGCTCAAGACCTGGAAGCGCCGCTGGTTTGTTCTGGCCAATGGGACGCTGCGATACTACAAGGCACAGGTGACGGGACCAATGGCCGAGGTGGCATTGCTCAACGCGGACTCTGATACAACACAGGAGTTCATGCAGCACAATCATAAAAAATGGTTGGAAAGCAGGCATAAAATGCATACCTGCAAACTATCCCAATTCGCCTTGCAGACTCCCGAATTTTACACAATTTTTCTACTTGTGTGAACTGTGGCCACATATTTCCCACAGAACAGCCCGAACCCCACCATGCAAAGAAAACAACAAACAAAAGTGGTTCTAAAACAAAGCAAGAAAAAAAAAACAGCACAAAACGCGGGACAGAGAAAGAAACGGAGAAAGCGCTGTCTTACAAGTCACCCCTTGTAAGTCAGCGCTTTGTGCATCTCTTTCACTGTCCCGTGTGTCGTGCTGTTGGAAGCTTGATATGATGGCTTATATGCATTAATTGTAATAAATTTTAAAATGCTATGTATTTTACAGGTTATAACTCGCATTCTACGGAATGTGAAATACTGCTACTACTCAAGGTTTTTAGACTTCCTTTGAACGAAAAAAAAATTTGCATAGAGACTTTGTTTCAATTAACAGAAAATTTTGTGCATGTTAGTTAAGTCATAATAGATACGCCCATTTTTCTTTACATGTAATATATACTGTTCGAATTCGATTCGAAATCATTCGACCAAAATCACTATTCGCTTCGAACCTAAAATCCACTTCAGGTCGAACTCCGCTACAATGAACACCCCTTCAACGAAATTTCCGCTACAATGAAAAATTCAAGATTCCTCGTCAGGAGTCTATAGAGTCAATGCATAAATATTGTCACCACAACGAACACTTTTTCTTCGATCGTACCACTTCAACGAAATTTTATGATGCAAATCCAGGCTCAGATACTTATTGATATGCAGTAAACCCAATATTTAACATTTTGATTCATTTTCAGAGCCTGAAATTTCATCAACGAAAGTCTAAAACACGCGTTGGCACCACCGGAAACCGCCGCTGTTCAGCAAGCACTGGGTGCTTGCGATTGCTCGATAGTGATGGCAATGAGATTGCCCTGCTTTTGTTTTGCCGCTGGCTTGCTTCGGAGCCGTAGGCGATCCGAAGCTGAAGCTCAGTCGCTCAGTTCATGGTTTCCTTCTCGCAGCTGCTGGGTGCAACCGCGACACGATGCCTTTTCCGATGCTTATCAATATGTTCGTGCTTGGCCAGTGTGGTAACTAATCAGAGCAGCTGTTCGTCTGCATTATCAACAAAATCAGCTAGCCGCGAGTGATGAATGATGAGAATGGCATAGGATAATGCAAAAGTCGCCGCTCCACGATACCCTGCCTCCATCTCGGCGTTGTCAGATACTTTTGACAGCGGACAGCTGCTGGTGTTAACGTGTTAATGAAACTGTTTGGTTGGTTCACGAAAGCGGTTTTAGGCGTTGTTTCAGCGTGCTTTTCCCCATGGCCTCGCTATGCATGGGTAAGAATCACGTTGTGACGCTGCTGGGAAAAATAAGAAGCAGCGGACATCTTTTGAATATTGAGAATAAACGTTCCTTTGTTTTGCTGGCTAAGCTCAGATATGCTTTTATTCGATTTCACTTCAACGAAGTTTTTTCCGCGCCCCGTCAGTTTCGTTGTAGCGGGGTTCGACTGTATTTACACAAGCCTAGGGATTTTCGTCGAATGATTTAGAATCGAATTTGAATTGTATATGTATCTCATATTATAAAGCAAGATGGGTGTATTTGTCATAACTTAACCTGCACCATATTTTTTTAATTGAAACAAGCCTGTGCAAATGCCATTTTTTTGCTTCAAGGAGAATTGAAACAACCTTGAATAGTAGCAAGATTTGACTTTCGTAGGATGCTATCATTGAACTGTAAACAATTTGCAATACTTACAGTATATGAGTCAATATAACAAGCTTTTAAAATTTTAAAAAGGAATCGAGTTGAAGGTAATGTCTTCATATAACTTTGGAATGGGGCTTTGTGGCAGTGCAATTTTTCCTGGGTACATGTTTTCACGCCTTAGCATTCCTTTACTGCAGTGAAACCACTTTTACAGGGGGGTTACACGCGAATTGCAGATTTTTTCATTCTTTTCGAATAATTCAAAATTTTTCAATAATTTAACATGGATCTAAGGTGAGTTCAAGCACTGTATTTTTTGTTCAAATATTCAAAGCATTCGAATATTTGCACAAACATACATTTCAAGGTTCTTTGATGATTTCGGTGGTCAGTTTACTTGTTGGACAAATTGAGAAAAGTTTGACAGAACTTCAAAGCATGTTCTAAATAATCCCATACTGGTGGCTCAGGACAGTGTCATATATCTAATTTGCGACCTGAACTCATCATTCTTGGAAGTCTTGCAGTTAACGAGACATTCGCATTGCATGTGTCCAATCGCAGAGTGACGTTGGCCGCAAACCGAGGGGCCAGATTGCCCTGGATGAGGTCTGCCGGGTCACTCGGGCTCACGGCGCCACCACCTTTGAGGTGAGGAGAAGCGATCGGCCAATCGTTACATTCATAAAGGCAAATTTAAGCCTCGCTACACTCCAACTTCAATATATTAATCCTGGATATAATGAAATATCGGTTATAACGAAGTAACCAAAGACTACTTTACAATGCACATAGTGCTAGAAGTATACCTTTATAAAAAATTTTTGAATATAACAAAATTATTTTCATGTAAAACACAGCTTCGTTATATTGAGGTTTGAGTGCATAAGGAAGTCATATGCAACATGAGTGCACATTCATAGGCAAATGTAACATTAACGAAAAAGGACAAAGGGGGACAGGTTCTGGAAGCAACAATTTAGGAGTGCAGTCTTGTGTCAGTAATTACACAGTTGCAGGAGATTGAGATGTATACTAAATGCGTGCAGTGAAATCACGGCAACATTGAGTTTATTGGCAAAAATGGCAAAAACAAAAACTGAAGAGCATGTTTTAATTTAGGCATCCTGAAAGGTTTTTTTTTTACATTAGATTCTTGTTACAGGAATGAGTTACATGCTGATCTCATGGGCAAACTACTTAGATTCATTTTATCATTACGTTTATGTTCACTTTATTAGACTCTGCCTCTGCATCCTTTTTGTTTAGCTGGAAGCCCCCTTCCAAGTACCTGGCATTTCGATATGTGACGTTGTTGTGCCGGGGTTTACTTACATTGTGTTCTGAATTGATGTTATCGATGAGTGTGGTATGCAGTGCTTGTTTTTGTACTGCAGATAGCGACAGACAAGCGGTCCTTCTACCTAACAGCCGACTGCACATCCACCATGGAAGAGTGGGTACGAGGTGAGATTACATCGTGTGTTAGTTCTGCACTCTGAGTGCTTATGCATTGTGTGATTACAGCAGCCGCATTGAGGAAACCCAAACAGGTTCACAAAGAGGGCTTCGCTTTCATAATTAGTTACTTATTTATTTATTTCTTTATTTATCTATTTCTTGCTGCAAGCCATAAGCGGGAGTGGGTTGTACAAAAGGTACATGTTGCAAAAAAGAGACAAAAGGAACGAACTGTGAATACACCTTGAGAAAAAAGGAAAAAAAATATGAGATATGTCTTGAACATTATTCACAGCATGTGAAACATCAGGAGTGATATAATATATAAAAATGCACAAAATATTACATGTGAAAATTATATATATAAGAATGAATGTAATACTCTCACTTTGTTCGAGTCTATACCATAATTTTGAAGTGAACAGTGACAAAAAGAAATTACACCCTCACCTCTAAAGGGAACAACGAGGGGATATGAAGCAGCATTGGAAGTGCTCACTAAGTTTCTGCTTACATTCACTCGGCATTTCCGTTAGGATGTGTGATTTGATTTAGTGTCTGTGGTATCATTACGTTGTGTTTGTGCAATGTCGAGGAAGTCTCGCTTGAATCGTGCGGTCACTTCATCAGTTCCCAGTAGCTGCAGTTGTTTCGAAAGCCTGGCTACTCTCGCCGCAGACTCACGCTGTCTCTCTGTAGCGGAAGCAATAGCTTGACGCCAACAGTTGGCTATGACGTCAGTGTTCTGGACCTCGGGGTTTGCAGCTCGACGCTTCGCTTGCGCATCTCTGGCTCGGAGTTTGGGCTCACCTTGCCTGCACAGGAGTTTGCGTTCGGCATCGCGAGCCGTGCGCTGCGGCTGCTCCGCGATGATCTTGATCTCGGCGGAAGCTGGAGTGCTGCTGCGTCTGGTGCTGACATTGACGTTACAACTCATCTGAACGGGAGCTGTGTGAAATGGGAAGGGTGTGGAGGGAGTGAGTTTACAGGCTGCAGCGTGGGCGAAGGAGAGGAGAGGAGGTGACCGAACCCTTCCATAGAGGAGGAGAGTGCAGGGCTGCAATGCAGGGGAGGAGGAGGGAAGGCAACTGGACACCTGCATAAAGGAAGAGAGTGAGAGAGTAGGCACATGCGCAGCGGAGCACGGACGCCACCGAGTCAAACTCGCTCATAAGATGCTTCGCATCTAAAAGAAATAGAAGCCGTGGTATAAGAACACGAAATTACCTGTTTGGTACTCCTGAAACGGGCCTCTGACAGGTACAATCTGTCGCAAGAAGTTCCTTAGTTTAGTAGTACAATAGTACAATCTTTAGTAGAATCCGTAATGCAATCTGTCACAAGAAGTTCCTTGTCACAAGAAGTTCAGTAGTTTTTCAGTAAATTTTTGTTTTCTTGCGATAAGAGTCTCCAGGTGTTCCAATATAGATGGATAACCGTGCTGTGAGTAATGCCTCTATAAATGGCACGTCCAATGAGCATCGCCAATTCATTTAGCGTCATCTATTTCCATGAGCCACCTCACTTAGCATAGGTTACTGTTCCAATATATGCATCCAGGCATATTTCTTCGCATTTTTGCACATATCATATGAAAGAAAGGAGAATATCATGCGCAGTTCTAAATTGTTTCACACTGCTTTGTAGTCAGCATCAAGATGTGCTCCAGGGGCCTTCTTGTCTTGATGAGAAGCTCTGCAGCCAGCGCCAGCACATCGCGTCCCAGCGAAGTATAGACTACGCACGTTACCAGGATAGCTATAAAATTGTGCACAAGGCTCAGCAGCTACGCACTTGCGGTGGAAGGGACAACTTGAGGCCGTGAACAAAACAAACCCATGAAAGAATGTGGATGTCTCAGGCTGACACAAAATGTTGTCTCCATAAAATTTGAAGCTGAGGTGCTGTCATTCTCGAACTCTTAGCTCATCCTCACTCAATTCAGGTGGGGTTGCAAGACAGTTTCAAGCAGGGCATGTTTTTTTTTTCAGCACTGGTGTGCACCCATGTGTGCGTGACGTCGATGTCATAGGAGCGATCAATGACACTAGATGTGACCTTGCATCTGATAATAATGCAAGCAAAATCAAAGCTGCTGGAAACTGTCAGAGAAGGCCACTTCGACTCTCGCAAATTTGCGGCGGACCTTTGTAAATACTTTCTGTAGAACAAATTTTCTCCCACTCCTAAAAACAGCTCTCTATTGAATATCTGCTGAAAATTTCTGACAATTACTACTGCTCAGCATAGTCAAATTGTGAAGCTGACACTTCAATACGATATTTGGCTTGAAAAGGTTCTTTTTATTACAGAACTTTGATGTTGCTCTAGCATAATCACGAGGGGTCTGCCCTTCTGTCAAGTTCGCCAGGCTAGTGCACTTTTTCAACAATACACGCACATTAGTTTACACTAAGGTCTGTCAAAAATTACTATGTTGCCAAAATGGCCGAATTCGAATTGATTCTGAAAGGTGAGTGGCTGGACCAACTATTAGAAAGTGCTGGGTGCAGGATAAATGAATCTAACATGCCAGAATAGATCATCCAAAAGCCTCGATCACCGGAGATCGATTTGAATAGGCGTGGTAACGAAAGAATTAAGGACAATCGGGCTGCTGAGCTGTATGCATCTCTGGTAGCATTACCAGGTTATCATTGTGATATCACCAACTGGCCCAATCGTTCACTTTGATTATAATAGACTCCCAATATGTTCCATTTTGCAGTTAAATATACAAAGAGATGAACAGGCATGCAGATTTCAAGTATGAAACAAATCAATCATATTAAAGGCAGTTCTACTTGAACACCTGTACTATTAAAGAGATTTCCAAATAATGAGATTTCTTCTTGCAGAAGGTCTATTGTACAAAAACTAGCATTCTTCGTGGATTCATTGCAGTGCTGCAGCAGGTACTGCGCAACCGACAGTTGGGCAGTAGCCACGGCGCGGGTGAAGCTGGCCGGCCCACAGTGGATGGCTGGGTGACCAAGGTCAAGCACGGCCATGCCCGCCGCTGCTGGGGTGCCCTCATTGGTCGCACTTTCTTCTACTATCGGGCCCCGGACGACACGGTGAGAGCACCTTTTGGCTGTTCTTTGGTGCTACGCTGTAGTTGTATAACACTGAAGACTGCTGGAAAAGCCCAGTCCGGATGGCCCAAATGTAACAGCCTATTATCTCCACGAAGAGCATAAGTGCATTTTTAAAACTTATGTTGCTATGCTGACATTGTGGGGCTGGTGTTTCGGCCCTGAAATTTAGAAAGCATATATATACTGACCGTGTTTACTCTAATGTAACACTCGTTTCAAGATTTCTGCGACCTGAATTCAGCCCTCGCATTACAATCGAGTACTGAAATTCAAGTTCTCAAGAAAACAGGATGATGCATACAAGTCTTATATTTTGATCATTTCTTTTTTGCTTTTTGGACTGAAAGAAAAGCCATTTTTTACGTCACCATTGCGGTCACGTTACAATCGAGTAAATACAGTACTAACCCAGCATGTTTCTCCTATCCTTTTCTGTTTGTTGAATGAAAGCCAAGTCTCATTTTCTAAAAAAGTCAATACTGGAAACTGTGACAATACTCGGAAAACTTAATGATAATGCTCCTTTTAAAAACAAGTTTTGGTAAACGGGATGTCAACGCAGTCTCGCAACGTTTGTTTCCTTACACTGTCAGAACCCCCTGGGACAGATTCCGCTGCGTGATGCCCGGGTGGAGGAAGTTCTCCACCTGTCCGATAGTGACGACGATGAAGCGGCCGCAGACAAGAGTGAGCGAAGTGGCACGCACAACACTCAGCAGCAACAACAGCAGCAGCAGCAGCAGTTCACAGTAGCCCTGCTTCCACGGAACCAGTCACCCACGTACCTTCTGTTCCCCACCAGGCAAGAAATGGTAAGGCAAAGTCGACATGTGCTGTACAGTGCATCAGTAGACGTTCTTTGTGTGTTTTGTTTTAACCTAGTATGCATTAGCTGAAATCTAATGCAATTTCAAACAAAACGTGCTCCATTGTTTATGCAGGATGCCTGGCTTTATCACTTGACGGTCGTGTCTTCGGGAGAGAACGCGTCGGGTAGCCAATACGAGCAGCTCATCAGCCGGCTGCTCGAAGTGGACGGGGACCCAGGTGAGGAGAGCGAACCGACTTCAATCGGGCATCTTTGTCTAGTGTTTTCTTGTCTTGGGCTAGCACATGCTCGAGTTAACTCAACAAAGCATTTGACATCTTGACTTTTCTCCAACCCTTGACAAAGTACCATATTTGCACGGATATAATGCGAGTTTTTTCCCAAAAACTTGCGAGTTAGAAAGGCAACTCGCGTTATATTCAGGTTCGTGACAAAACTGACACAAAATAGCATGAAATTTTTTCGAGTTTTTTTTTTCTTTAATATCTCTGTGACTGTAACATGCCCCGCATGTTCCAGGAACTTTCCGGGTTCGTCGCACCATATACTAGTACATTTTATTTAAACTTGTGCCTCCAGTGGTCGTGCGCAGAAAGGCACTATGGCGCTGACGCCTGGCTGGCGTCTTGAAGCACCGCCGCTCAGTATGGAAACCTCGTGCATATTGCAGTGGATGCACGCGCCACTACAGTATGCTGCAGTGATCGCATTGTGCCACTAGCGCCATGCGAGCCACAGTGGCAACACGTGGACAATAACAGTCATTTCGGAAAAACATCGCCTTTCTAAGCCTCACGTTTGCTTGTCCCTGTGTTCAAATCGCACTTTCTTCCACGTTGTCTGTCATAATGAACAGGCGAAATCAATAAACCATTCGTTTAAAGGGACACTAAAATCAAACAACAATTTATGCCAGAGTGAAAGCTCTATTTATGACAACATCTAAAACGACAGTATTATCAATAACAGTGCCCTACTTACCGAAACTAAGGTATATGCACAAGAACACATGCGCCATAGTAGGACATTCTCAAAATGATCTCGATGCCATCCGACAATGCCTACAATTAATCACTAGCAATCGATCTAGCTGCACCACATAAAGAACCTTCTGTGCATCAAGAGACGCAATAATATGCTGTTTGTTCATTTCTGTTTGATTCATGGAAAAAAGAACCGCCGTACGTTAATATAGGGATTGGCGTGAGTGGTTCAAAAATTCCATTTTCGCGTAGTTACACTGGACAGGTGGTGCATCTAGCGGGGCGCAGTTGAACCAAAGCACTTCTGCAGTCTCAGAGCCTATGGCGGGAAATTGATCAATGGCCGTTGTTGCTGCTGTGGCTCGCGCTACTTTAGGTCTGCTGCTACTAGCACAGTAAAGCCAGCCAACGTTGTGCACGGCAACAGTGATGTGAGTCGGTGCGGTCGGTCCGCTTCTTGAGGCAGGTAACTTGAAGTGCGTTAATCTGATTCGGACCACTAAAACGTGATTTCATTTCAAAATAGGCCCTTTCTTGGCACAAAAGTAACACTACGAGGTTACTGGACCGCTATTTTAGCAATCAACGTCGACTTAATAGTTGCCTTTAGTGTCCCTTTAAAAAAACCGGCGATCCCACTGGCCGAAAAGAGGGGCAATTCAAGTGCGGCATTGCATCTCAGAGTGACGAATTCAGTCGTTCGAGGCTGGAGAAAGTGTAGTGACAATGAACCTCTTGATATGCGTAGCACTTGCATCAGCTAACAAAAAAATATTTCAGATTAGAATGACAACCAGCCAACACGGCTGCCTTTTACAGATGCAAGACAGGCATGACATGATTATGAAAGTGAATCTCACGCTTTTTTTCTTCTTTAGGTTGTGACCAATTATAGTGTTCTTGTGCTAGCGCTCTTGTTCATACTGTAGCAGTTTTTCATCGTACAGGAAACCTTTTCAGTAATGTTGCATGGTGAAATTACAGTGGACTCCCAGTAAGCTGAAATCTCTAAAGGATCTGCTGTTTGAATGGAACTGCCCGTAATGTGATCGATTTCTACACTTGAATGCTGTACTCCCATTCGACTCTCTATAAATGGAAATTCTGTGAAATAAACACATTTTCCCAGTCCCTTCAGGTTCTGCTTAACAAGAGTCCTCTGTAGTGTACTACTGCCTGTGATTGAACGTGTTGTGGCTGTTGTGCACTATTTCAGGGAGCGTGGTGTGGAGGCACCCCTTACTGCTTCACAGCAAGGAACCCTTGAGCCAGCCCCTGACCAGCCTGGCCTCCGAGGAGCTGCAGTCGCAGGCCCTGCGGCTGTTCAAGGTGCGTCTCTTGCACTGCACTGACCCCGAATTTTGAAGAAGTACTGGAAGACCACTAAATATTTCGATAGACCAGGCTATACTTTTCAGGATTTAGCTGTGAGAATTCAAAGCATTGTTGCTTTTGCCTTGTTATTTTTGTACGTTATTAGTTTAATGAACGTTTTACGTTATCTGTGCATGTACATACGGTGTGAAGTTTATATTTTATTGGCACAGTAACTCTGACAAAGATGTGTATATGAGCACTTACAAAAACAAATGAATGAATGAATGTATTTCTTAATTAAGCAAAGTATCTTGCGAACTTTTCGATTTTCATGAGCTGTAATCGTTCCATGATCACTGTGTGAAAGTATTTTATATGTTTTGTTTCACGTGCAATGCCATGTAGCTGCGTATACCAATAGAGTGAGAATCCCCCCAGAAAAGCATTTGTGCGACTTCATTTCCTTAGTGTCACCTATCTACCACTATTTTTGTGCATAAATGGAAATCAAAAGATAGACTATGTTTGCACCTTGTGGTCAGCATGGTTTGGTGCAGCCAACATATCTGTTTTTCATACCCGTGCGGTCCGTTGTTAGGCCACATCCGACTATGCAGCACAGCCACAGCGGTGTTTAGTCAGACACCACTCAATAAATTCTCTTGTAGTTGATACATGCATTTATTTTCTCACTGCACTACGTGCCTTTTCTGAAAGAGTAACCAAACTTCTTTCACTTGACCTTTATTTCTCGAGTTTCGGACTGGAACGAACAGAAGGCGGTGTAAAGCTTCGGACCCCCAAGGGCTAAATTATTGAATCGCCATTGCAATGGTCATTTTGACTTCAGCCAGTGGTCACTCTCCTAGAGCCACAAACGGTGTCCACTTGTGGTCCCAGTGTATATAGTTTGGTGTTTAGCAGTGAAGCAAGATACGGGACCGCCGCAACTCGTACGTTATTTTGAAATATCGTTGTAATGAAAAACTTCGATTGTAAGCAAGAGGTCAAACCTAGGAGCGAACATTACGTACCTTGGCAGTTGCCGTGTGCGCCGACAAGCAAACACACACACAAAAAAAATTACACACACTTCAAACGTTCTTTATTTGAAGAAATCTGTGATTTTCTTCTGACGCGTGGAGCACAAACGGCTGATTAAGTACGCCTCAACACCTTCCACCTTACGTAGCACCTCATCGGGCACATCACTGCACCGACCAATGTAGGTGCGGACTTTGTTCATGTGCACTAAAACATCCGAGTGCGATATGGTCTCATCCTCTTCAGTGTTCGGTGATACAGAGTCCTCTTTCTTCGGGTCGTCATCGTCGTCGTCGTCGTCACTGGAGACGTCGCGAACGCTGTTGACAATCTCCTCGGTTGTCATGTCCGCCGACGTTAGTGCTGCGCTGTCGCTCTCCACGTAGTCGTCGAAGGAAGAGACGTCGGGCAACAGTTCCTCAACCTCAGTCCACAGGTCTCCTGGGTTGCTCTGGTCCTCTTCCAGGTTGTCTTCAACTTGGGCAGGCGCCTTGATTAGGCCTGCTTTTCGCCAACAGTTACGGATTGTTGACGTCTTCACGTTCCACCAAGCTCCCGTCAGCATTTCCGCCGCTTGACGAACGTTGACTGATGTCGGCTGCTTTAAGCGGAGATTTACAATAAAACGCTGCACAAGGCGCTTGCGAAATTCCGCCTTAACACTCTTTATGATGCCTTGATCTAGTGGTTGCAGCAACGACGTGTTGTTCGGTGGCAGAAACTCCAGGCGAACGTGCGTCAAGCGAACATTCACAATGTGGGCTGAACAGTTGTCTACGATCAAAAGAATTTTTCTATTTTCTTTCCTCATTTGTTCGTCGAGTTTGATGAGCCACTGCGAAAACAATTCTCTTGTCATCCAGGCACGCTTGTTCGCACAATAGTCGAACGGTAGGGATACGACGTTCTTCATGCAGCGAGGCTTTGCGTATTTTCCAATGACAAGCGGCTTGATTTTCTTCGTGCCCGACGCATTGCAGCAGAGCAAGACCGTCACGCGGAGATGCGACTTCTTGCCTCTTTTACACTGCTGACCTTTGAAGTGCATCGTCCGATCTGGCAAGAGCTGGTAGAAGCACACGGTCTCGTCCGCCTTGAAAATGTCGTCTTCGGAGTACGACTCTGCCACCTCTCGGAAACGATCGTGCCGCCAGGAATCTGCACCCTCTTTGTCCGCAGCCTTTTCTTCACCTGAGACTACCTGCCAGGTTATGCCGTTTCTCTGGCGAAAACGAAAAAGCCAACCCGCACTTGCATCAAACCCAGTTACTTCAAGTGCGTCGGCGAACTCGCGGGCTTTTTCTTGAAGCATTGGGCCAGACACTGGGATGTTTTGCAGCCGGGCATCTTTAAACCAGGTCAGCACAGCTTGGTCGACATCTTGAAAATTTCCCAGGCGCAACCGTTTCCTCGTAGGTGCAAGTTGTGACTCTCGGTGAAGCTTCAGAATCTTTTCTCTGTCTTTCCAAATGGTCGCGACAGTCGACGGGGCAATGCCACGCTCCCTGCAGAGGTCGATTTGCTTTTTGCCCGAGTCAAGTTCCCTCAACAAATCCACCTTTTCTTGCAGGGAAAACTGCTTTCGCCTCTTCTTAGCGCTGTCACCTGGTGCATTCATCGTCGGGTCTCCAAACACTTTGCAGAAAGCTAAGAAAAAAAGAACGACAACAAAACGCAGCAGACTTCACACGTGCGTGGCACGAAGGACGCACGACGAAGGACGAGGCAACGAGGCTAGGCCTGCTAAGCTGCCACACATCAAACATCAAACCATACCTGTGTGATGGCGCTAGCAGTCGGCTCTCAACACGGTGATGATGATAGCTTCCGTGCATGGAAAAAAACAGCGGCTACTGCGCTACGTGAGAGTTGCGGTGCTGCTACTAAATTCGTAATACTGATGTTCCTTGCGTATAGGCGAGCAAATAAATTATGCACGTTATTCTGAAATATACATTGTACTGAAATTCGTTGTTCTGAAATATTTTTACATTGAAAATATATAGGCAATCTGGCGGGGATTTTCAAAATATTCGTAAATCTGAAAAAATCCTTAATTCGGTGTTCATAGTAACGAGATTTGACTGTATGGCCCATCTCAATACTCTATTCTTTTTTTTTTTTACATTCATTTGCTCTAGGTGAAACAAAAATTAACGTTCTGGAATACTCATTTCGTGGTTTTTGCAAGACTTTTTGTTTCACCGCACTTTATTAAAGAAGGTTTAGTGACAGCTCTTCAAGAAGAATAAAACTGTGTAGTTGACTTGCTGTACAGATGAATGATAGTGTATGAGAAAAATGATGACTGCGAAAAGGACAGGGGGTGGCGATCCTGAAATTATCGACAGCGGTATTAGCAATACTGTACTTGTTTAATCTATAAATTTAGTTAAGTCTGCCTTGGTAGTTTAGTGATTGAAGTGCTCAGCTGGTGACCCGAAGGTTGTGAGTTTTATCCCGGCCACGGAAGTAGACTTTCAATGGAGCCGAATCGCTAGAGGCCCATGTGCTGTTCAGTGTGAGCGCACGTTAAGGAACACCAGATGGTCAAAATTGCTGGAGCTCTCCACTACAGTGTCTCCTATAATCATGTCATGGTTTTGTAATGTCATTCATAATTGTTACAATTATTATTATACTTCATTGGTACAGGGCAAAGCTAAATGAATGTGTTCAAAGATGTGCTTTTTTTCTTCGAAGAACTTAATTCTTTTATGCTTATAACGATGTACTTATTCATGTTTATACCAGTCAGTTCAGCTGTTCATGGGCGTTCCCCTGGAAGCGTCTGGCATCGACTACCACGTGGCCCTGGCCCAGAATTCTCTGGCCCAATGCCTCTCGTGCCCTGCACTCCAGAACGAGCTCTTCTGCCAACTCATCAAGCAGACCTCACCGCTGCCAGGGGGACACAGGCTTGCCGGAGTGCAGGTTGGTGCCGCTTTCTTAACAGCAGATCTCGGCTAATCAGAGCTTAAGTAGAAAACGATGCCGCCAGTCCCGCGCGGAACAGTGCTCTTGTATGTGTCCTTCTTTGCCTGATCTCTCGTGTTTGGCACCGTTTCCCTCCTATGTGTCGTACCAACATGTCCAAGCAATCTCTTTAGGTAATCTATTCTAAGCTCCTTTCAGGCTGGTAATACTAGTACACTTGCAAGGTATTCACTTCACCATAGATCTTAACATTTGTGATGTAGGGAATCAACCACCATGCCATTATTCATCATTTTGCAGAAAAATGAGGTAACCATCACAGATTTGAGAGGCATTACGTGCACCTTGCTTGTTCTGTGGCTGTGTACAACGAAGAATTACGGTTGAGTGTTTTTAATGGTTGGGAAGCTTTCAACAACCCACTCATCACATAATTCGTATTGTGTGATACCTGGTCGTTATTTACTCCTTTACTATGCTATATTACATCTGTTAATGCGATTCCTTGCCCGACATGATACCTGTAAAGGGTCTTTTTGTGAAAGAGTTTGAAGCACTGGTGTGGCTCTGTAGTAGAGTGCTTCACTGCTATGCAGAGGGTCTGGGTTCAAGTCTCGTTTGATCTTGTGTATTCTTTAGGAGCGAAACTTTTTAAGATGTGGGTTGTGCATCCTCGATGTATGTAGTAGGTAGCTACCTCTCGTTTAGTTCTTGGAATGTCCGCTAGATGGCAGTACTTGTGTATGATGAGTATATGATGAAAAAAATGCGAGATGGCGATACTCGGAGTGGTCACTAGATAGACGGACAGACGGACGTACAGGTGAATAGACAGACAGACAGACAGGCGGACGGACAGACAAACGATTGACGGTTTACCGATAAAACCTTCCAAAGGTTCGCCCCACTCATCATCATTCACTCTGTGGATATGCTGGGATTTTTTTTCTCATTTTGCACGGTACCAGTTATGGACGCTGGCAGCGGTGGACAACTACAGCTCCAAAATAGTTGTCATTGTTCTCTAACAGCCTTCGCTGCAAAAATTGAGACAGTCATAAGGCTCTGTAACATGAAATTTAAGTGCAGCTGTTTGGTGCTTTGGATTCATGATATACAAACAGCTAGGCCCTCTCGGGGTCAAGGCTTGGCATCTGCTTTGGTACCATGCACGGCCGAGTCATAATGGTAAAGCGCCACTAGAAAAATAGACCTCAGAAGCACACAGAACCCAACTGGCGCAGTTGCTAGCTACCACAATACTGTCTTTGCAAGGTGGCATTAACAGTGCACCATGTTTATCACAGTTTTGATCGTAAACTGGCGCTTTTTTTTTTTAATCCTGCAACCTTGGCGGATTATATAATTAGGCATGTGGGTATTTGAAGATAACTGCCAACCTAGATTCGACCAAGTACAGTATATCACTGATAACAATAAATCACTCATCATTTCTTTATCGGTACTGAATTCCCCTAAATTTTTATGCCATGGGAGAGAAATATGTACCATCTACTGAGTACCCTTCATGATACTGCTACAGCTGTGTTGACCCAGAGAGCTACGAAAAGCTGCCCTCTAATGATACCAGTAGAACAGAATTAGAACACATAGAATTTCCATAACCTTCAAAAATAATGGATACAATTTCTCTGCTGGATTGAATATTTGATGAGGTTTCACTTTGAATAGCAGGCCTGTTTAAGCTCTTTGTTCCGCCGTTTCGCATGACGAGAAAACTATCGCCTGCTGACACAGCTATGCCTAACGGATGCAACTCAATAACTCGGCACATACTATTTTTGTCCTCTTCTTCATCTTAAGATTGACGATAATTGAGGAGTTTGCTCATAGCAACATACATTTAAGAAATGAGGATGTTTAGAGTACATCTTTCTGAGGCATGTAGTAACTTGGCCGATAAGGATTGCAATCGCCATCACACCCATTGAAATTGAAACGATCGACATGCAATGTGTGCCTGTCTTCAGTGCATGTGCCTTGTGAGGAAAACAAAAGAGAAAGGAGAGAAAGAAACAGGGTGAGAAATAGACAAAGAAAAGGGTTTAAATAGATGAGAACAGAAATACCTCCTCGCTAATATCATGCTAATTATAATGATGCTAATTCTCATCCACCATGTTTATACCTGTTAATTAGGACATTTTAATTAAGAGTTGGTTAATTAACATCACATCAATCGAAGTTTGCTGGCTAGGACATGTCAAATTAAGACCTTGCTAGTTCAGCCTCAAGCTCCTTTGGTAAGTCCGGCTTTGTACTTTTAGTGCTAACTGCCCACATTTTTTCTACATCTGCTGAGCAGAGTGCCTCCTCTCACTTTATTTTTCATCCCTGTTTCTCAAAACCATGCAGCAGCTGCTGCTGTGTGCCACCCAGTCGCTGTTCCTGTGTGACTCTTCCTCTGAGAAGGGCTCGCCGACAACTGACAAGGCTGGTGGAACACCGCCTCCTCCGGCCCCGGCACCGCTATGCCATCAGGTGCCACCACCCCCGTCCCAGCAGCCGGCTGACTGGGTTCTCGTGCAGGGATGGCAACTGCTCTCTCTCGCAGTGGCGCTCTTCCCGCCTCGCAACAGGACCCGGTGGCTTTTGAGGAAGCACCTCCTGCGGCATGCGGACTCAAGGTGATTGAAGCGCTGACCCTGTCAAAAAATATCATTAACCTCCCTGGGTGTCGCGTCCACAATTGTGACCTACTGCATTGGTCTAGTTGGTTGCGGTTCTTGAGTGCTGATCCGAATGTTATGGTGCAGAATCAGAGTCTGGTGGCCACATTTTGGGGGAGAGGAAATTCTACAATCCTATGTGTTTATATTTAGGTGCATGCTAAAGGATACGAAGTGGCCATGCTTTCTGGAGCCCCTCGCTACAAAGTTCCTCGCAACCATAATGTGGTTTTGGGACACAAAGCCCCAACAATTATGAGAATAGTGTTACCCACCTTGCTGGAGACAGCTTATATATCAACTGGTGGCCAAAAAAAGGCAAGAAGCAGTGAGTTTAAGGTGTATTGAATGTAGTATAGCACATCCAAGGCGTCTTCATTGACCTTCAGTTGGCTGCATATAGGTTTGTCATAAATGTTACCATGCTCAACAATTCATAAACATGGGCTAATTATCATCACTGTAATTGAAATTTTTCTAGCTAGGACATCACAAATTAAGACTTTGCTAATTCAGCCTCAAGATCTTTTAGTTAGCCTTGTACCTCTTGTGCTAACTGCCCACATTTTGTGAGTTTTGTGCTTTTGTGAATTTTATAGTAGTGGAACTTCGATAGTAGGGAGTGAGTTATAGGCAGTAAAATACGTTGATGTTTGAAAATATGCCATACTTAGGCCCGTATTCACAAACCAACCTCCACCTTACCTCGAGCTTTTCTCATGGGTTTTAAGCCGTTATTGTGCTTGCGGAACGAGGTAGGCTAGTATACATGAACCAATCTCGTTATATTTTACCATTTCTGTGCCCTTATAACACACGTAGAGAGTACAGGAACTTGAGGAAAATGTGAGAAAAGGCCAGGATTGGTTTGTGAATATGGGCCTTAGCCTTCATAACACATCTTTAAACTTGACCATAGGTGTGCATGTGCAAATGACATCGGTGACTGACACCGAGTGAAAACAAGCTTTTCACAATGCTCATGCATGGTTAGCAGGTTAATTTCTATTAGTTTGCATGGTTAAAATGTGAGGACAATACGAAGGTATTCTCTTTAGAAATGTTTTTCATGAATTGTAGTAGCAGGTGCGGGTTATGTACAGGGATGGCAGGCCCGTAACCAGAAATGTTTTTCGGAAGGGGCCCACTTAATAAAGGCCTTGATTACTTTAGGAAAACGCCTGTTTTCATTACTTATTTTCAGTAAAACATTCCCCTTCATCCGGTTTCGAGGGGAGAGGGGGCTTGGGCCCTTAGGGCACCGCTCCTGGCCTGGGGGACGGGTTACATGCGAGAAGGTACGGTATTATAGAGTTAGCAGAAGAAACTTAGGTAAGCAGCATAGTGCCATGCATAGCAGATGTGGTTGGTGCACATTCTTCATGAAGGTGAGCAGTAAGTAGTGCAGAATGGCAAAAACACAAATAGGGCAGGACTGAGTAAGCAAAAGAAAGTTGGCACTTTCTCAGCTCATGTGTTCATCATTCTTTTACTTCCTGAGTCCTCGCTACCTGCATTTCCGTGCAGCTTCATGCTGCTCAAGCAAAAAACGCAAACATGAATCAGCTCTGCCGCATTGCTTTTCTTATTCTGCACACATTCCTGCAGAAATTTTTTGAGTAGCTTCTTTACGTTCAGAACTTCTGCAGAATGCAATAAACCCTTTTGTAGTTCCAATGCCAGCTTTCACGAGATACAGTCAGCTTAACTAATGGCGTAGAGTCACATACTGCGAACAGTGTGTTTGAGCGCAGGTATGACGCGGAAAGCATGTATTCAGTTCTCTTGATACAAACACGCATAATAGACAAATTCTAGCACTTCGTGCAGGTTTTTCTCATCCCAATCATTTCCCCTATTAAGTCCAAATTGCTAACATTGTATGGTGCACCATTTCTTGTACCCGCGAGAGCTCCTGAGTGTTGGCAGGAACACGGCTGAAGCAGAGATAAAAGAAGCTGGCCGTTTCTGTCGCATGGAGGGCTGATGCGATGTAACCCCACATTCAAGGCCTGCTGTCAATCGCTCCTCAAGAAGATTGTTCCCCCGCACACAGAAGTTAGCGCTATCTCAGCATTCATTAGCAAGCCACTCTGCGTGCTGTGATCTCTTTGCGTCATGCTGTCGCGACTGAGGTGAGAAATAACACGAAAAAAGCTTTTCTCCTTGGAGCTGCCGTACTTATATACTACAGCGTTTTGTAGTTACGCAAGATCGGATCAAAAGGAGTTAACTGCTAGCCTCATCTCACTATAAGTACGGCAGGTGCTGTAATTATAATTAGTAGGGTGAATATGCAGTATGTGGAAGCACATTTGCGAATTATAAAGAGGGTTCATTGCCCCATCTTATGAGCATGGAAGTCTTCATAACTCACATCTTCAATGCAGGAGTGAGCCAGGCCAGTATGCGTCGTTCTGCGGCCGAGCCCTGGAGCGTGCGTTGAAGGCTGGCAGCCCCCGGGAGTGCCGTCCCTCGCGCATGGAAGTCCTTAGCATACTGCAGCGCAACCCATTTCATCACTCCCTGCCACACTCCATTCCCGTTCACTTCCTCAACGGCACCTATCTGGTGAGGAACAGGATGGTGGGCGTGTCTAATACCGAGGCCCTGCTTGAAACCATTATCTACTAATGTGAGCATTGATGTTCACTCTTGTCGCAGTTAAACCAGAAATAATGAGCTAAATAGTCTTCCTTGAAGTTATAGCTACCATATTTACTCACATAATCCTTGCACTTTTTTTTTTTTTGCAGGAAACTGTTGAAAAGTTGGAAGGGTGTGAGAATTAAACGGGAAAATTTTTCGCGATAACACACTGAGAAAAAAAAAAAAGAACCAGCTGCAAATTGGGATTCTCATGCCAGCAACTAATTGCAAGCTTTAAGAAGTAATAAGGAAGACTTACCTTAACAGTAAAGCTACGCGTTCAACACAAAGCAAGATTTTTTTATTTTTTTTATTTACAAAATGCTGTCAACCCTTCTTGAGGGTTATTACAGAAGTGGAAACAATACAAACTTTTTACAAGCAAGGCAATGCAGTGGCAATACAAGAAGAGTACATAAGAAACGAACACAAGAGAAATGACATCATGACGTGCAAGCGATGCGATCATGGTAATAACTAATGCATACATCATACAGGAATAGCAATACATTGCCTACAACCAAATGATAAAGAAAATTGAAGAAATTGTTAGATTGTGGACACTGTTTATTTGCAGACACTAAAGCCACTCAAGGGTCATCAAGTTTAGACCCCTGAAGCAATCAAGAAGCACTGCCTCACCTTGTCGCCATTTTCCAGTCTTGGACCCACGGAAGAATCAACGCGTCTTGGTGGCTTTTATCTGCTCGTGCTACTGTTGCCAGTAGCAAATGCAAAATTCCTCGACTCCGCAGTGCCTGCCAGCAGCCCGATTGCCATTGCTTAGTGCACAATCAATCACTTCGAACTTGAAAGCAGCCATGTAGCTTCCGCATCAACCTGTCGCGTAACGACAGAACGATCACAACTACTTACATTGCACAAACTAGCACGAACATGCCGCAACATGTGCTTGCCACTCTGGCTTGACTTGGAATGGATTAGATAGTATGCATGAAGCTTAAGAAATGGCGCTAGGCATTCATGTGTTATCAGTTATCATCATCATCAGTGTTCAGAAGAAGCAAAGCACATTACTGCTGCAATTTTCGGGGGTGCACTGATTACTCGCAGAAACAAAACTAATTTTTGTCGGGCAATTGGAAAGGTGCGAGAATTATGCGAGTGCGAGGATCACATGAGTAAATAAAATATAACTGTTCCAGACTTGCTCAGCAGACATGCTGTGTACCATCTACAGTTTCCGAGCGGCAACTATGCAGCCTACTCACTGTATTGCTAGTTAGCAGGCGATAAAGTTGTATGTAATTGTGCTCTTTTTAGTGTTGAAGTGATGAGTGGTCCTTCCTTCCTTGCTAGGTTGTTGGCTTCGACGGCTCCACCACGGTGGACGAGTTCATCGGGACATTGACCCAGGAAGCCGGCATGCGTGACCCGAGTCAGTCAGGCTTTGCTCTCTACAGCGATGACCCCATTGACAAGGGCGTCCAGCACTGCCTCAACCTCTCCACCCAGGTGTTTGCTCACTACTCAGCTTTTTCTGTACGTGCTGTCGGAATCTATGAAAAGAGGTATTGCCGGATGTGCTCATTATATGCGATCATAGAGCGATCATTATATGAGATCATATGCGATTATCATGTTGTGAGACCTCTAAAGCAAGGAAGGAGCTTATTAGATGCGAAGCAGCTCTTTGACTGGCCCGTGTAATGCTGTTTATCCGTGTCTCCAAGCCAACGCGCCGCACCGCGCTTCCGCCGCCGCAGTTGTTGGAACTGTAGGGGTACGGGAAACGTAGGCTCCCCCCCCCCCCCCCTAGCACTTTGCGCAATCGAAAACATATTTACAAAAAAAAAAGAGAACGACAAATACTATATACATGAACGCCGTAAGGTGTCTTTTGGGATGTCCAGGTTGTCAACGTAGAGTGGCCTTCAGTAAGCAGTGGGTCTCCGGCAGGTGACTCTGGGTGAATCGCATCGGGCGAGGGTTGGGAGGGACGGAGACTGCTGGAAGCAAGGGTGGTCGTCCGTATGGGCGGGTGACGCAAGGCACATGCCTGCAACGCAGGCGTGACTTTCGGTGATGAACTGTCGCCATAGGCCGACAATTGCTGCACCGTGGCATTGTAATGTTCCCACAACGCGTACCTTAGGTCGTGGGCTGCACTTTAAGGGGGAACGCGGCTTTGGGGTCGCGAAAAATGGCAAAAAAATCTATTTTTTGAAAATCAAGTTTTCAGTTTCTGAAACCCTTTTTCTATTCGATTCCAAAATATCTACACTGAAAACCGCGCAGAAGTGCTTCGGAAAATTCGTTTCACCCACCTAGGTAGCGAAAATATTTCTGGAAATCGCGAGAAAACAGCGATTTTCGAAAAATTATAGCTTTGCGATGGCGGGGCCGGGAGCCGACTTTTTGGGCTCATCGGAAAAAGCATTTCTCCGTGTTTAACTTTCCTGCCTCAGCTGGCTCCTCCCTTTAAAAACAAGCACACAAAAAGTAAATGTTTGAAGGTTGTTTCGAGGCCCTTGATTGGCTGTGGCCGCCATGTTGCCTAAGCTCGCCTCTCCATTGGCCCGATGCTCGCTCCGGGAGATCGTCGTCTGATGCTTGTGCGTCGCGTGGACATGGCTCTCGATAATCGCTACTTCGTTGCGTTTTTGCGGCTCAATGATCACTTAGGATATAATTACGCGTTAGTTAGGAGCCGTAAGCGGATGCGCGATCAGGTTACTACGAGCGGGCGCCCGGTCTATGAGCGCGGCGCGTCATCGGAGTCGTTTTTAGCCCTAACTCCGCCGACAGCGAGACGGCGGGCAGGAACGACGCGCTAGCGCACTCGTGGCGACGTGCGTCTTCGCAAACAATGAAGCTGTAAGTGGCGACACGACCAGTTTACTATGAGCGGATGCACGATCAGATTACTACGAGCGCGGCGCATCATCGGAGTCGTCTTTAGCCGTAACTCCGCTGACAGCGAGACTGCGGGCAGGAACGACGCGCTAGCGCACTCCTGGCGACGTGCTTCTTCGCAAGAAATGAAGCACATCACTTGCTAGCTCCTCTGAACCTCGTACGGGCATTCGAGGCATTGGCAGTGGACCATACAGTCAAGCTCGGCACCCCCCCCCCCCCCCCCCCCCCTCACTGCCAAGGATTGCTCGGAACAGAGGCCAGCAGTTTCACGTGTCGGCACTCGAAATTGTGATGCCAAGTGCAGTGCACGCCGATTTTTTGTCATCGTAATTACACAGTTCGCGCATCGTCACCAAACGCCGCCGGCAAAGTGCATTACGCGCTGGCTGCACTATCCACGTGGCCGCGCACTCCACGGTCATATGGAGTGCTGTCAATAAGTGTTTGTGATGCGATTTAGACATGTGATGCGATTTATACGTGCTTGGAGCCGTGCTTGGTATCGCCACGAACTTCTATGAATGTTTTGAGGCAATGAAAGCCTCATAGATTAGCGTTTCCACGACCGGTTGTATGATGACGCGTTTCACGGCTAGAGTGGCAAAAGAGCATGTATGAATCAGGGTTACGAATTTTTATATGCCCATTTCACGTCATTAAATATACTGCTAAAAATTCATTAATATACTGCTAAAAAAGTAAAAATTCTTGTGCCACCAGTCTTCTGCCCATAACTTTGTTATTTGAAAAGAAGGCATAGGCCGTCATGGTCTGATCCATTTTTCTGATGCAATAAACCTCTCTCCAAATAAAGAAAAATTTCGGTGAATATTTGTAATAAAGTACTTAATTATGCTAATTACAAGTGCAGCACAAGAAATATGTGTAATCATTTCAGTATATGGTCTTATTTAATTACAATCTTTTTTGTCATGCATATCACACCACTCGTTCATAGAAAGAACTTGGTTAGAAATCCGTACTTGTTCTTTGTAAAACATGAAAAGGAGGTTATGGGAGGAAAAAAGGGGCAACTGGTCAGAGACCAGATACCTGATAAGTCAAATATCACAAGACAAACCTAAGATCACAATCTTATGGTGTTTTAGAGACATAAAAAGAAGTTAAAACTTTAAATGCGTTTTTTTCAATACTGTTCTTTTGGCATTATACTCAGCTCGTGCAGCAGATATCTGGGCAACCACTGTACATATAAATTTTGATTTCGTTTATTCTGTAATGCTCTTTGAACTGTGCTTCAGGGGGCTGCGATCTTGGTTTTTCATTTTACTCCTTCAAGAATTTTTTATAGGGTTTCTTGTTTGTAGTGCAAGTGTGCTCATTGCAGTGTCGCTGGAGAAAACGTCAACCACAAGTTTTAGTGTTGCAAAAAAATTATTTTGAGATCGCAGCCCCTTTCAACATACATTTGGCTGTGCATACAGTAATTACCAACCATTTTTGTCATTTTATAAATCCTCCAGCCTCTCCACGAGGTTCAATTAAAAAATAATTTGTCTCTCATTAAGTATTTGTGCTATCGCCTCGAAATTTTTATGGATGCATGTTGAGGCCATTCTTAGTGTCTGTGTCAATTTTCGTCATCATCCGATTAAAAACAAGAAAGTTCATTGTCAAAGGCACGTCCCCTTTTAAATGGCGAGGCGGTGTTAGAAATGCGGCGTTCATAGTGCTGGTGCTGCACACGACGTCGTCGGCGCACTGCGGACTGCTGATCTGTGGAACACCGACACCAGCCTATCTTACGCATTTGATGACTTGTCAGGGGTTCCTTCGCCGTACTTCCGCCTTCTTTCAATGGATGCCTGCACCCTTGGGTACCTTGGAAGGGCGGGTGGAAAGCCGCCTATTCATTTCGCTTTAGGTATGATGCCATCGCCGTGTTTGAGTCATAGCTCGGCGACGTGCGATGTCATGGCCGAGTGTCGGTGTATTGGGAGCCTGGGCACTTGCATTTCCGGGGCTTGGCCACTGGCATTTCCGGGCGTCGTTCAGGAGGATGTTGCACAGACGTGCGGACCCCGTGGTAAGACTGGACTTTGAACCACTGGTCGAGGTATTCCGTTGAGAGTCTGGTGACTAGCAGCACACGGGCAGGGGAACATGCTCATTGACTGCTTGTGTGTCTTTTGTAGCATGGGCAGGCGGTTCCAAGCTTGGCCGGCCCAGTGCGTTGTACGCCGTCGTCATCGTCCTAGTGGGAGGCTCGGCAGTTGTGTCCGAGAAGCCACCAGGCGTCTCAGCTGGCTCATCTGTCATTGGTGATTCGAAAGCCTGTGTGGCAGGACAGGATTCTGCTAAGAATCCGACGGTATCTGAAGCTGTAACCGGTGTCGAATCTGCCAAGGAGAGAGGTGGAAGTGGCCCTGGTGGCGGAACCAACACGACGGAAACAAGAAGCGGAACACTGGGGTGGCGGGCCTTTCGATCGGTGGGCTGCTTGAAGCAACAGGGTGATCTTTGTCACTTGCGTAGCCGGTGGTTGTCGGCAGGGCGATAGTCTGGACTGACCATGGTGTTGGAGGCGTAGTCGACGCCGTGGTGTCGCTTTTGGGAACTTCAAACTGCGAAGAAGGCTGGATTCTGGTTGATGAAGAAGCGCCTTGCGTTTGGTCCATACCTTGTCGGAGGTGCTGTTCAGCGCATCAAAACTGTAGGACGGTGTCCCGTAGTTCGTCATATAGGCGGTGGCTCCAAGAGAAATAGGTGAGGTGTCACAACAGTACTGAAAGTTGGGCGAGTTGGTACTCATTCATGACTTCTTTGCGCAAACACGTACACGGACACAAGGAAAAGAGGCAAACAACACGGGCGCAAACTCACAACTGGTTTATTTTGAACAACGACCTGTACTTATATCTTCACGTAGCCACCGATGGGGGCCCCCCCATCGGTGGATCCACCGATGGGGGGGGGCGTGTGGGCTACGTGAAGATATAAGTACAGGTCGTTGTTCAAAATAAACCAGTTGTGAGTTTGCGCCCGTGTTGTTTGACTCTTTTCCTTGTGTCCGTGTACGTGTTTGCGCAAAGAAGTCATGAGGTGAGGTGTCATTTGAGGTCAGGTTGAAGAACATACTTCAGGACCTCAAACATGAATTCTTGGAGCCAGATGATGTTGAGCTCCAAGGCAGCCTCGAACTCCTGGAACGATGACTCAGTGTCGGAGGTGGGGAACAGTGGTAGAGGCAGGTCAAAGTGAGGCTGCAAGGCTTGAGCCGGCTGGAACATGGCTGCGAAGCTCAGTGGCCGCGGTGCAGTGCCGTTAGGCTTGTCCGTTCGTACGTGGTCACCACTTGTAGATGTACTAGAGACAAGACGGTGGCGACGAGCCCGTGCTGAGGTCACAGCTTTTATTTGAGATGCAGGCGTAGGCGGAGTCGCCGCTGCAGCATCCAGCCAGGCCAGGAGCTCAGCCGTTCTGCATTCCTCGTGGCTCGCGCTTCCCGAGCCACGCGGCTCGCTTCTTTTTCGGCGCGGCCAGCTGGCTAAATTTCGCGTGGCGCTAAATAACTATGCCAAGTAGGTTAAGTTGCAGCTGTGCGTTGACGACGCTCTCTCTCACCCGCAGTAGCTTCCGGCTCCTCCCAACACTCCTAGGTGGTGTTGCCCTTCTGCCCACTCGCAACACACTTCTATCTCGTTTCACTCTCTCCGCTGCCGGCAACGCTTGACCACAGGTCGAGTGAAAACACTGTTTTGGCTTGTTTATCTGCGATTAAACTTAAACGAAACCCAACCCTTCTTCCGTGTTTTTGCTTTATCAAAGAAATGTTTACTCGAGTAAACGCTACACCGAGTTTCACTTCAAACCGTTCTTCCAGCACCCGTGTCGACGCCCGTTTCAGCCGAGTCGACGGCATGGGCACCGCTGCTGCTTCGCATTCCATCATGGTTTCCTTTGGGGAGATTGTCCATAATTTTTTTAGGAGAAAGCCCTATGTATTCTACGTGTATAAAAATTGCTTAATTGGCAAAAGCATGAATTTGTAATAAAAAATGCAAAATGTTGCACGACGTCTTGTGGTGTCATCATAAACAGACGAAATTCGTGATGTCACAAAAGTGTCATCAATCACCTCTTGCAGTGAGTTTGTCATGCATACGAGTGCGCTTAGTACTGATTATTTGAAGTTATTCTGCAACAACAAGGTTGCAATGCTGACTATGCAAAAAAGCTGCAATTAAACCATCTATGGGAACCTGGCCACCTACATACATATGTAAGACACGTTATTGGCAGCTACATCAATCTTTTTTGTCTTTGTCATTTTTTGTTTTCGGAAAGAGATGTCCCCCCCTTGAAACAAATGGCAATCTACAAAGTGTATTGTGTACACTATGTAAAGTACGCTATAATGCACTGCAGTGTTCTACCACATGCAACTTCCGAGGTGAAAATAATGAACAGGATTATCACGAATCATCATGTAGCGAAAAAAATATTTGATTCAGGAAAAGGGGAGGGACGAAGGGCCTTTTTCTTGTCCTGTGTCACACATTTTTTTGTGCTACGTGATTAGCTATAGATTACCAACACGCCCAACTTTATACTTTTCTCATTATCATGAAATTTTGAGGCAGGGATGTGGACGGCCACTGCACCCTGCATGTTAAGCAGTGGGTTAGTATTGAGCAGACAGTATAATTAAACTCGCATTCACCGTCTCGCCGTTCTCTTTGTTGTTTTCCCGCAGAAGGGGGACTCCTTGCTGGCGGACGAAGGTTACCAATGTGGCACTCTCAAGGTGAGCACTTGCTGCTGCATTCAAAGAGCGGTAGACTGCCTTCATTAACAGATAATTTTTGGAGTCTCACGAAGCGATTATGAGGGGCACACCATCTTACAGATCAGCTGCATTAGCAACCATTAGTTCACTGCACATGATATCTTCCACTGAGGTTTATGGAACCCAATGCTCTGCTGCCAACTGTTGCATCATTTTCTCTCACTCCTCGGCAACCTGAACTGATGAAATCCATCAGGGGCTGAGTCAAGCTTTTCGGTGGAGGGGTATGTCCCTCATATGTGTGTATGTGTTCATGTACATTGTGTGTGTATATGTACACTGACAAACAGCAGACAAGTGCTTTGGTAGAGAATCGCTTGTCCTGCCCAAACTGTCCCCAAACTGCTTTGGACGAGCAGAGCTTCTCTTAGGGGAATACGTTATCCCCTGTAGTGTTCAGGACTAGAAGTGCTCATCTACTGCTTAGATGGTGCGTCATCCACGAGATGGCAGAATTTACTAAATTTAGCTTTCTCCTGCGGCAGGAGCATGGTTTTTGTACGGAAAGACGGTATGCAGAGGCAGTGACCCAAGCACAGCTGGCCCTTCAACAAGAATAAGAAGCTTTTAATTTCTCTCATCTTCTTCGAGTGATGATGATTTGGATACACAAGTTTATCTTGTATCCGGAAGTGTAGACAGCGATGACAGTGAATTGAGCCACTCCTCCGCTAATGACTAACATAGGCTTGGAAACCAACATGGCAAGTGCTCGTCAGTGAAGTCATTTTGCTTTATTCCGTGTTTCGAAATTTTCCACACGATCGCAATGCTTTCCTAGTGAAACAACTCAAGGTGGCTTAGCCTACACAAGGGAATAAAGATGTGGGGTTCCCTAACTGTTTTATTTACAAGGCTTACATCTTTTTTAGCAGCAAGTGGCTTGTTTCCTATATATGCTTCAGAAGTAAACTTTATTGTGCTGATTTTACTGAGTGTGTGATACAAATATTTTTTCAACTTAGAATATCTGCCTTTTAGTACAATCAGATTCGAAACAGCAATAAAAAATAGTCACTTTTGGACGAGAAACTTTTGTAAAAATTGCGCACTGAAAGGGTTCAAGGGGAAGTGTTGCACCCATACAGATCCTTTGAATAGCTTCCTTCAGTCAGAACTGCGGCAGCCTTTTATTATCAATGTTATTGTTGTTCCTTGGCGTAGTTGCTTTGCAACAACTTTTGTCTAACTTTATTTTGTACAATTTTTATCAATGGGGTTGCAGGTCACACCTGTTTAGAATCCTCTAATGTTCACGAAAAGTTGTGCCACGATGAAAATTGTGAGAGGATGATATTTGTTTACTCTTCTCGTTGAGTTCGTTTCAGAAAAAGAATGATGAAATTTTATTTGTGGCATATAACCTAATTAGTCGTAATTAGTTATACTTAATCATTTGAATAAGTGTTCAGCTCTGTTACTTAATTATAAAATGTTAAATATGCAACCACTACTTTTTCATGAAGCTGTCACAAGTTTGTCATCTTTTTTTGAGATTATATAGTCAATGTATCAGATACGATACAGTGGGCATTGCGGGGCCTCTTAAATGACGCAGCCTTTGATGAGAGTCTACTTTTTCTTGCAGCTGTGCGATGTGATCTCTCGTTGGGAACAGGCCCTTCGGGAGCGCCATCTGGGCAAAGTGGAGAACACACGAGTTATCTGTCTCACCTTCAAGAACAGGTAACTGACTGTCCGTGTTGCATGTCTCGTCGTCATCAGGTAATGTTCTAAGCTTGCCTCGCAGCTGGTTGAGCGAGCAGTTTGGTGAATCGTAACTTAGTGGTTGTTGGTCACAAGTCACACACACATTGATGTAGGGTTAGCCACTACCTCTGAAATGTGTGTTTGCGCTTGCATTTCACTCCCTTCCGCTCTATACTCTCGCTACACTAAACGATTACCCTATTTACTCGCGTAATGAACCCCCCTTTTTCAGAAAAGTAGATGCCAAGTTGGGAGAGGGTTCATTATACGGGAGAAAAAAGTCACAGAAGTTATAACAGTGAAAATTTCACCTGATGGTTTTGCTTGTTTTGGCCCGCAAAATGCGTGCCGAATCTTTTTGTGTGAGTAGCGTGTGTGCAGGCCAGCCTGGTCGGATCAACGCTGAAAGTATCGTCCAGCCGCTCAATTCTCATGCTTCAGCGCATGCTCGACTAACTTTAATTATAACACCGGCTATGTTGGTAGCGTACCGACCGATTGTCAAGAAAAAGGTAGCATAGGATGGCAGCGCACGTCATTCCATCAATGCGAGGGGTGCGGTTGCACTTTGTATTTTGGTTTGTTTTGGCACGGTTGTGCTTGCTTTGTGCTCTAAGCTGAAGGTTTCTTTAGTGTTTGACAGATTGTCTGACAATAAGGTTGCAGGCTCGTTGACCATGCTTTATGGAAAAGGTGATGGTGATAGTTGTGACGTTTCTTTCGTGCAGGTTGTTCCTGCGCCAGCACCAGAAGGCGGAGACGGAACGGGAGCGGCTGCTCACCTGCTACGCCCTGCACAGAGAGCTCATGCAGGGGCGCTTCCCTCTGACGCACGAGATGGCCCTCGAGATGGCTGCCCTCATGGCGCAGGTTGGCTCCTGCGGAGTGCTTCCTTCTGTGTGCATTCATTTGTTCGTTCATTCACTCATTGAATGAAGGAAAACAGCGTCAATTTAAGGTCTAATTTTTGTTTGTTAGATGCAATAATAATGAAGTAAGGGCCTCATATATATATATATATATATATATATATATATATTTTGTAAGATGGGGTCCAGTACCCTCAAGACTCTTCTTTATTGTCTCGAGTATGTGCCCCCCAACCTAAACTGGAGTGGTGATGATGAGTATGTACAGATGAAAAGATGGAACGAGTAATGATGCTCACAATATATATATATATATATATATATACGCGTCTTACCTATACGCAGTAACAATGCCAGAATTACTCGCTCGTTTCCGGCGGCTCTCCGTCGCTCCTTTCTAGTTCCTCTCCTTCTTCTGCTTCTTGTTGTCTGTTGCTACCTCCTTCGCCCGCTTGTCTTTTTCTCTCTCTCTTTTTTTTGGAGGGTCTTTAAACTGTGAGGGTGACCCTCTGCTACGGGAACTTGTATCATTTCACTTACATCCTCCGAAGAAGGCTGGTCCACCAGCCGAAACTGTTAGGATTAAATAAATATTTTATTGCTTTGTTTCCTATACTGCACTATTCTCGAAGTTTATAACTTTTATTACGGTAGCCGGAAGAAACTCTGATCATCTATTCATCTATATATATATATATGCAATAATAATCAAGTAAAGGCCTCATACATATATATATATATATATATATATATATACATTGCAGTCCACTTATAACGATATCGAGAAAACTAAAAATATGATCGTTATAACCGGTGATCGTTATATCTGGACTGCCGCCAAAAAATCGTCGCCGGACGTACCTTTTGTAGCCCCAGGCTTCATTTCGCTATTTTCAACAATTAATAAATATTGTAGATAGTAGGATGTCAAAAACAAGACTATTTCTTACTCCGAAGAACGCATCACGGTTTCGCTGAGGAAGAGAGACTGACCGACGGCGGGGTGGGAATAGTGGAGGAAGAAAGCACAGCCAGAGGTACACAGCCGGAATGCCAACGAGGCCCCGCCCCGATGCCGCCACACCGCTTTGCTTTTCGCTTTTTTTATTTTCTCTCTCTTTCCCGCTTTCGTTTGGCAAGCTACGAGTAGCTTGCTGGCTTGCCGTTGCAGAAGGCGGGGAGCCGCGGAGCGCGGCGCTTTGCTTTTCGCATTTTTTTTTTTAAGTTCTCTCAGCCTCTCCGCGGTCGACGCGCGGCGAAGCGCAAAACGTGACACAGCTGGCGCTATCTGTAGCGCGTCGCGCCGACTCGCGATGCTCTCCTCGGCTTTTTGAACGGTCGGGACGCGCTGCCGGCGCTGTGCTGCAGTGGAAACTTCGAGAATAGTGCAGTATAGGAAACAAAACAATAAAATATTTATTTAATCCTACCAGTTTCGGCTGGTGGACCAGCCTTCTTCGGAGGATGTAAGTGAAATGGTACAAGTTCCCGTAGCAGAGGGTCACCCTCACAGTTTGAAGACCCTCCAATAAAAAAAAAAAACACAAACACACAAATCCGACCACCATCAGGGCTGTAGACCGTGCGGGAAACCTTGCTGCAGGGTGTGCACACACATGGTGACCACAGATACGGCCGAAGCCTCCTGTTCAGACTATGTGTACAAAATTAAAGACGACCTTAACTGTGACTCAGCCAATGTGGTATACAAAATTCGCTGTGAGGTGTGCAAACAGGGATATATTGGACACATGGAAACCGCGTTCCGTTTGCGTTTCAACAACCACAGCGCACATGTAAAGGGCCTCCCCAATTTGCCGTTCTCCAAACATATCAATCTTCCTGGTCACTCTTTCGAACGCGTAAGTGTCATACTCCTACAATGCGGCTTCCAGAACACACGGAGCGCGAACAGCGGGAGTCATACTTCATAAAGAAATTCAGATCACTTACCCACGGAATCAACGAGAGCCCTGGGCGACTGACGTGCCTCCGCGACGTTTCGTGAAACACAGAAATTAAATTACTCATATAATTTATTTATACATACGTGAAGTCGCACACGTAAGTTGGTCAATATAGCGCAAGAAACTAAACGAATTCGATGCTACGTGAACCAAACGGCGTGTGTTAGTATTATTAGACTTTATTTTCATTTCTGAGTACTTTTTTAGTATTATTTAATTTTTATATTTTTGTTTACATTTTTGTTTGTTCATCCTTTACAAGAATACCCATTCATTTATTTTCAGTATGACTAGTTGTACAGTTTTCTGCAAGAGAGGGCAGGTGGAGCGAGGGGGAGAGGGCACATTAGCTTTCCAACGTGGCCATTATTTTCCGAAAGCTGGAGCGGGTCGTATGCTTCTTGTGTGTGTGTGTGTGTGTGTGTGTGTGTGTGTGTGTGTGTGTGTGGCCCGATGCCCGGGCCAGCCGCCGAACCACGTGAACTTAAACTCGATCCATGTGTGGGATGCGAGTAAGCGGCAACATGTTCCACATTTTTCCGGTTTTCTTGGTCGCCTCCGCTGGCGGCGCGTCTTACCTATACCCAGTAACAATGCCAGAATTACCCGCTCGTTTCCGGCGGCTCTCTGTCGCTCCTTTCTAGTTCCTCTCCTTCTTCTGCTTCTTGTTGTCTGTTGCTACCTCGTTCGCCCGTTTGTCTCGTTTTTTTTTTTTTTTTTTTTTTTATTGGAGGGTCTTCAAACTGTGAGGGTGACCCTCTGCTACGGGAACTTGTACCATTTCACTTACATCCTCCGAAGAAGGCTGGTCCACCAGCCGAAACTGTTAGGATTAAATAAATATTTTATTGTCTTGTTTTCTATACTGCACTATTCTCGAAGTTTATAATATATATATGTGACGTATGAAGCGATTGTTGGTAGAAGCTGATGAAGAAGAAGTGAGATAGAATAAACATGGAGTATGAGCCGGGCCACGTCTGCCATTCATCATAGCGTCACACGAGTCGACAGGATGAAGACCTGCCAGCCCTTTCATCAGTCGCTCATCATCTACGCAATCCTCCGCATGACACCCTGAGCATACATGGACTACCGTACAAGCGCCTAGCATTACGGATCGACCAGCACCATGTCAGAAGCATCTACTGACCTTCCTATACCCAAGTACACCGGAGCAGCGGACGATGGACCCGTACAAGACTGGTTCGACCTGTTCGAGTTTCACGCTTCCGCTACATCTTGGTCGGAACGGGAAATGGTTACGAACTTCAGCGACTACGTCACCGGTGAGGCATTTAAATTTTATCTGACCCACATATTCGACAACGACGAGTCTTGGCAAAAGATAAAAGAAGAAATGATCATCTGCTTTCAAGACTATAATGAAGATTCGATTAAAACACGCACTATCAATGCATTCGAACTCCGTCATCGCAGTCAGAAGCAGCCTTCACGCATTCGACCACGGATCATGGATTTACGATTCCCGTCAGGTGAAGCTAGCCACGTGCTAATGAAAAGACCACGCGATCGTTTTCACAACCTTCCACCTGGTTCCTCATCAGCGCAATTATCGCCAATGCTTAACTATTCGCTGCATAAAAGATTTGAATCCACTATTTGTGACCCAGGTACATTTAATACTTCGTGCGGCATGCGTACCTTGCAAACTAACTTGGTATCACCTGTCATCAACATTACTGATAAACCTGAGGAAGCACCTCATAAGGCCGTCGCATTTACGCATGATGAGTTAGTAAATCCGCGCGAAACCAAACCAGACAAGGAATATTCACAGAAATCTTATTCGATCAAAGTATTCAGCTCAGCAGCTCAACAAAGACAGAATTATTCACAATCAGCATCTTGTGAAGAAAAGTTTTTTGCAGAAGTGTCTAATATTCATCAATCAAAAGATCAAAGCGACGTGAATCTAATATACAACCTCACTGCCAACGATGAAAACAAAAACCCAGGTGCTATTTCGGATGACACAAGTACTCTTCAGGCAACCACCAACAATGAGCAGTTTATGAATACAGAAGATTCAAGTGCACGAAAACCCCCACATTGTCTCGCACCAAAAACAGCTGCATTGGTTGGCGTCGTAGAAGCCTGCAGTGAAATCGCTAAGAATCCTTGCACACCACGATCAATGTCACACCCCAAGCAAGTCGACGAAAGCAAGAAACTACAACGTCAACATACGCTTCAACATTGTCAACGACGAAAGAAAACTTCATCTAAACCACTCTTAAAGCTCAAAGAACATAGCGAAAAGGCCCATCGTCGTGGATACATTCTCCGCCAGAGATCAAAAATGGGCCTTCGATCAAAACATCTGCGACATCGCTATGGAAAGTTTTCCAAAAGCCACAAAAGCACCCCTTGTACTCGGCAGGAACACAGGCAGCGCCCAATCAACCTCGATCAACGCGCACGCAAACTGCCTGCATGGCCTGTGTATCACCCACGACGAGGAATTCGATGCCTACAATATCGGAACTGTCGATTCTGCAAGATGTTCAAGCCTCATTCGTTCTTCACAAGAATACCAGCTGTGATTACCCCTATCTCCACGTCCAAAGCATTTTTGTGTTATCCAGGACGCAACCACCAGCCTCGCACACCAGAACTCTTGCGTTAACCGGACTGCTGCACTCTCCCCTGAAGTCATTGGAAGTTTACGGAACTACCCTGGAGCATAGGACCAATTCTAAATTTTGACGTTTGTGACTTTTTAACCTCTCCTTGTTTGCTTTTTCTTGTTCGTAATCCATGTCTTCTTTCGGGGGGAGGGGAAATCGTGTGACGTATGAAGCGATTGTTGGTAGAAGCTGATGAAGAAGAAGTGAGATAGAATAAACATAAAGTATGAGCCGGGCCATGTCTGCCATTCATCATAGCGTTACATATATATACATGTTATAATATAGAACGGAGACAGTCAAAACTGTTATCCGAGACCAGGTAGGAGCGTAGGCCTAGTTAGCAAAATCAGCGACAGTCCGGGCCGAGCGTTTCGTGCTTA